GGTGATGTTGGTAATGAAATGTGTTTGTTTTTTCGTGATGTTGGTGGTGTTGTTGATGACAATGACGACGTGTAGTTGGTGGGGGGGGTGGCTAGTCGTAGTCGCAGTGGCTGTAATAGGAGGAGAAGCAGGAGATGTAGTCGGATACGTAGCAGTAGCATTAGAAGAAGAGTGGTACTAGACCTGCATCTCGAAAAAGGACCCATCCGCAAGAAAAGCCGACAAAATCCATTGGCCACAGAGCCGCCGCCTCGTCTTCTGTAGCACCGCAAACGCCTCGACCGCAGGACTTGCAAACAGGCCCTAGGACCAAACGCAACGAAAGCAGGGGCCAAAGTCTGGCCGATGAAGTACTGGAATAAAAGCTTGAGTGGAAGTAGAGATGCATACAACCAGGCTGCTAACCCCTGCTGCTATTCCTCCCCTTCTCCATGTTCAGCGTCGTTGTCAGCAGCAGCAGCATCAGCAGCATTACAAGTTTCTTCATCAGCACCCTTGCCCCCACAATCATCACATTTTCCCATGGGTTTCATCTCCATGTTTGGCTTCACTTCCTCCTCACCGTACAATAAAATGAAAAATCCACGGGAAGCCTTCTTGAGCTATCCTGAACCCCGACCCAAAACCAACAGCCTAAATGTGAAGCCCAAAAACCCCACAAATGCAACGAAACCGAATGGTCAACCCATAAAAGAAGCTTCTTGTGACTGTCCCAGATGCTCGGCAGGCCCTCCTGGAGGATCGCCTCCCCAGATTTGGGAGCAAAGTCGGGTTGAGACGCTGTAAGCTTTGGGTTTTATCGGTCTGGTTGAGGCTTGGCTTTTAGGTAAGGTATGCTTTATGAATGCTTCGGGCCTTGCAGACTAAAGGGTGATCCTTTTGGATTTGACGGCCTAACGCGTGAGGGTGTCGAAACTAAAAGGCCCTCAGACATAATTAGCTATAGCAGTCGCTTAGCGCTTCTACAGTATTCAAACCTAAACTCGACTATAGTATAAGAATATAGCTCCAACCGTCGCGAAACTAAGACTGGCAGAATCTCTCTCTCTCCCTCTCTCTCTGTCTCGGGGCAGAGTATGTGAGGGTGTGCGTGTGTCGGGTGCAAACAGGCAAAACGATATAAACAAATAAACTTAATGAATAGATGAAACATCACCTACATATATATATATATATATACCTGTGGAATAATGTCCCTGGGACCATCAGGCAAGCTTGGGAGGATATCCTCCAAAGTGGGGCCCCAAAGCTTGTGGCACTTTTGCATTCCTAATTAGGCTGCGCACCAACCCCTGAAAGCCGGCAAAGCAAAAAAATACAAATAAATAAATATATATATATATATATATGTATATATATATATGTATATATATATATATATGTGTGTGTGTGTGGGGGTTTAAGTACATACCCATATATGTACAAATACATGTGTATATATATACATATATACACGTAGGCATGTATATGTATGTATATACATTGTATGTACATATATATATATATATACCGACTGAATCTTCGAATCGACGATGTCCCATACAGAAACTCGCCGAAAACGAACACGAGCAAGCAGAGGCGAAGACCATTTACATGCGTCTGTGTGCCTGCATGTACGTATGCAGGCTGTATGTGCATGTGTATGGTCTTTCCTGTCTCGCTCGCTCTCCCTCTCTCTGCAATTTCATGTTTTCTGACTACCTTTAGAGCTTAAAGATTAAGTTGTCATCTCGATCGGGGTCATGGAGTAGCATGTTCGATGCGTTCCGAACTTTCAGTTTTTTTCTCAGCTCAACGGCACGCTGCAGGGAAACAGTAAGGGAGGCAAGCTCAAGGATGATGCACTCGCCTTGCTGGCGCTGCAGTTCCCACAGCCCTCGTTGCAACCGCTGTGGACCTTGGCTTGATGCTTACAAGGTGTCGAACCGAGAAAATGCTGAGAGTTCGACTGCGACCCTGATCCCAGATCCCTAGCAAATGCAAGCTCCGAATAAGACCCTATGTTCCTTGTTGCGCAGTCCTTCCTTTGCTGACAATCTCGGATAATGCGTAACTCCTACCTGTGCGTTCTTTTCTCCCAGTGCCCAAGAACCCCACTCTACTTAGGACCCACTCGTAGCCGAGAGTCCTACTATGGTATGCAACTACTATACGATGCGGCTACTAGGATATTCTATGTTGCATCTTTTGCTCTACTAGAATACCATGTCATCTCATCTTGTATCTTGGTATACACGAAATCCTTTTACATTTAGTTGTACTATGCTACACCATATTATGATATACTGATATACAATGTTGTATTAATTAAAAACATGTTGCCCTATGCCATGCGATCTTTCATTACAATACATTGTCTTGTATTGCACCTTGTTTTGCCCTATCTGGGCTTATTATCCTATCACGCCTTACGTTTTTGCGAGACCTAGCAGACCAAGGGACCCATCCAACAGCATCCAACTAGCCGGGTTGGGCCATGCAACCCGAAAGCACTCTCCGTCAATAGCCAAATCCGAAACAGTTCCATCTTGGTTTTATGTTCTACCAAAACTTTAAAATCAACAAATCAAAAGTTGCACGTGAGCAGATAAGAGAAAACAGACCCTAGAACAGCCGGCTAGTGGACGTGAAATGAAGGTCGGCTCGTCCGCTCGGAGGCGGAGTTCTCCTCTCTCAGGATCAAATACTCGCCGGTGCCTCTGGACATGGGGTTTGGAGTTTCGACTCGCACTCTCGCACAAGCAGGCACGGATTCATGGGTCGGGATTGCTAAGTTGACATATCGAGTAGCACAGCACTAAACGACCGAGTAAAGCATGCAAGAATCTAACAGAGGAGATCCCGGCACCACCTCGTGGCCCAGCAAGGTTTGGAGTTTAAGGTTCAGCTTGGAGCAAGACACTGTCACACATCCGTCTGCATGCACGCGAAAACACAGAACTCACCTTCCTCAACCGCTGGGCAACGGATGAAGCAGCTGTGCAAACCAACACCCCTCAACATCACCGCTGTGCGACGTGCTCCCACATCAGCGTCGAAGCCGAAACAAACACCCCGATCAAAAGGTACGAGTGGCTCGCTCCGGCAGTTCCTGCAACACCTCCGTCCCAGGGCAGGCGCATTACCCCCGGCAGCTTGACGCATTCATCGACCTGCTTCGGCAATGGTAGTAATAACACCGCGAAAGAGCACCAGCGCAAACGACAATGAAATGATGCGGTTGCTGCTGAAGGCGACAGCTGTGATGGTGATGATGATGATGATGATGATGATGGTGATGATGATGATGGTGATGATGATGACGATGATGATGACGATGATGATGCTGCTGATGCTGTTGGTGATCACGTGAAGATAACCAGCAGGGTGGCGGCAACGTTTAAATTATGGAGATGATGCACAGCATGTCCCGATAGTAGCAAAAACCGTGAAGAAGACGATCAGGCTCATGGCGAGCTTGTGTTGCTGCTGTGGTCGCTGCCGCTCCTGCTGCCGCAATTGGTGGTGGTGGTGGTGGTGGTGGTGGTGGTGGTGGGGGTGGCGGTGGCGGTGGCGGTGGCGGTGGCGGTGGCGGTGGTGGTGGTGGTGGTGGCGTGGCGGTGGTGGTGGTGGGGGTGGCGGCGGCGGTGGCGGTGGTGGTGGTGGTGGTGGTCGTGGTGGTGGTCGTGGTCGTGGTGGTGGTCGTGGTGGCGGCGGTGGTCTTACTCTTGCTGCTGTCCGTTCTGGCCTTCAAAAACTGAACTGACATGCCGTGCGTCGCGGCAACCGAAAAATGTCATAAAATGATGCTTGCTTCAGCTGAGTGGCATAAAGGTCAAGGCACGCGGCTGGATAGTTCAGACAGATCTCGATCGGGCTGGGAAAGGCCTGTCTTGGCGCATGCTGGCGATGGCCATACCAGCGGTAAGTCACGAACTCCTTCCCCCAGGCTGCATGTAGACCAAGGACGAGGAACTTCCCCCATCGCAGAGCATGAACAGCCGGCGCCATGATGAAGCTTGGATTGAGCCGCACAAACTGGCAGCGGCCCCTTGTCGGCAAGGCCCTGAAGCTGCAGACAACTACGACTACTGCTGCTGCTGCTGCCAATGCTACAGCCCTGCTACAGCTACGGCTAAGGCACTGCTACTGCTGCTGGTGCCGCTACCGCTACTGCCTGCTTCACATCTGTTTGACCAGCTGCTCAGCTGGCACGCCTACGTGCCGGTGCCTATGGCTCGCAAAACTTCAGAATCCCAGGGCACCCGTCAGCTCCTTCAAACTTGAGGCTGCAATGTCGACGCCACCTTCAACCAGCGTCTGCCCTTCATGCACCTCGGAGGAAGGCAGGATTCAAGCTTAAGTTGCGGCACACCAGTCCTGACCGATGCGCGTTGCTTCGGAATGTCTTTGCTGATGAGAGCGCGAACCAAACACATCGACCGGGTTCAGCCCCGAGATGTCAAGGCCCACAGGCCTACAGCTCTGGATACAAGCCGCGGCAAGACCCAAAAGACCCCCATTTCCCTCTGCATCGACCTTGTATTGAATGTGGAAGCAAGAAGCCAGACAGTGCAAACACTTAGGCACTGCCCAAGGAAGGCCCGTGGCCACAAGTCTTGTCGCAGGGCTTCACTCTTACAGTCTTGAACATTCAATGCACAGGAGAAAAAACAGGAACTGCCATCTATCCTACATGCCCTGAGGCGCTGAGCACCTCAATCTGTCACAAACTCCTGTGACACGCAAGCTCCATAAACCTTTACAGCCCGAACCCTGAAACCCCTACTGGTAGCAGCCTTAAAACCTACGAAGACGCAGACCCTAAGCCGAGCCCGGAACTCGCAAAGGGCACTGCGCTTTCGGATCCGCTGCAAGCAGATCGCGAAGTTCGTCGCGGACCTGGGAGGGGACTTTACGCTCGCACAACTCGAACAAGCCAGGCGAGGTTCCAGAGGCTTGAGTCGGCGTGATACAAGCACCGGAGCCTCTTGGGCAGTGTACTAGGCTCGTGATACCTTGTTGACAAAGTTGCTAGCCATTTTCAGCGTACACTAGCTCCACATGGCAAGCCTTGCTGTCGCGGTGGAAAACCTTCGGGCATCATCTATCTATGGCCTTCATTCGCATCCTGCGAATAAGGATACTTTCCTATTCGGTCTTAACACAAGTCATACCGCATGTCGTGTTGATCGGCCAGATTTTGTGTTTCACCCACGCGCCCCCAGAAACCCGTGTGCGTATTCATGCGTCTAGAAAATGTCTATGCATATAAAATAACTATTCTGTATATTGTATGCATTTATATCCACCCTCTCTCCCTGCGCTCTCCTATGTCAGTATAACGGTGTCTTGTCTGAGTCTGTCCACACTGTTGGGTACTTCCTGGCGTGTTCGTGTTCCTGCCCATGAATGTATGGGCGGATAAATGAACAATTGCCTGCATGAATGAACGTGTGTACTATGTACGAGTGAATGAAATAAATGATAGGCAATGACATGCAACATTTATGAACGCACTTTGAGTACTGGTTAATAGTAAAAACAATGAATGTGCATAAGAATGGCTTATTATGCACATAAATATATATATATATATATGCAGGTACATGCATGCCTTAGCTAGTGCCTTAAAGTTAGCCTTTTGCCCCTAAACCCCTAAACCCTAAAAATTATGAAAAGGTGCGATCTCGCGCATTGACAGCGACACCTGCCAGTCTCTCGCGCGCAGAGCACGCAGGCGCCGGAAGACCTGGGGCGCACATCCAGGCGATTTATATGGGGGTTTCAGAAAATAGGGGACCCCAATATAGTACCCTAAATAGTAGGATCCCTATTATAAGGACCCCCAAAATAAGGTACCCCTAATTTTCGGAAACTCCCATATAAGGTTTCGACTCTCACACTCGCACGAGGTCTGCAAGGGTTTAGGGGCTTAGGGTTTGGGCGCTCACACTCGGACACTCCATGGTCTAGGATTCAAAGCCGGAAAGTTGAAAGATGCGCATCCAAATTTCAAGCACCCTAAACACATGGACGACGAATCTTCCAACTTTAGAAATCTTCCGATTTCGCAATCCCTCAGAGACCCCAAAATTCCCGAGTGCTCCCGGGAAAATATGATGGGAAAGGAACCATGTCTGGCTTTCAGGCCATCCCTTTTTCAAAGGTGCGGGTTTGGAGGATCCGCCGGCGGAGGGGGTGGGGGGGGAGGCCTACAAACAATCAAAGTCAGAAGATCATCAAGGGCGTCTCTGATCTCGCCGTGGGTGCAGGGAAGCCTTCTTAGCAAAAGCACAAAGTTGGAAGATCCGATTCCGGACCAACCGTTCCCAGCTTCCAACTCTTCGGCGTTCGCAACACGGCTCGATCGATGCTAGGCATGGCTGTGTCCAGATTCTAGAACAAGGGCGGTTTGCTGAGGTTGAGCTTTGCTGTACCGTGACCATGGCAGTCAAGAGCAGACATCTCAGGGAAGTGTCAGATGGGACCTTCTTGACCAAAACCCCTTGATCAAGCTGTTTCCGACATACATGGACAAGAACCCCAGCAACGCTCGGAAACTGATGTCTGAGTCCCGTGGCATAGCGAAACGCTCGCGGGGCGAGGCCTCAGTCACGAAGCTCTGCAAAGGTTTAGGGTTTAGGGGAGGGTCCATGGCCTCTTACTTGGTTTTGTTGACGCTTACACTCGGACAAGTCCAGCCAAGGTCTGAAGACGAGACTCACGATCCTCACAGCCAGTGCAACCCCATAAATCCTGTACTACTGGAAACTAACTCTTCAACCCTCACAAGCTTGGAGACGTAACAGTCCCTAAAACGACCTGGAGAGTCAACCCTTGATTAAGTACCTCTACAGCCAACCCAATCAGCCCAGATCCGCAACCGCCTGTCTCCCCCTAAGGTGCCTTGCTCCGCAGCCGCATGCGCCAAGTCGGGAGAAGGGCCGAAGAGGGTGTACCTCAGGAGTTACAGTAGGTTTTGATTTTGGACTTCGGCGTTTCGGCACGGACTCCAGGCGATGCATGTTCGAAGCTGTGATTGGTGGTGATGTCATCGAGCTGAAGACCAACACCCAGACCAGGGTTGTGGTTTCGGGGCTCCGGGTTCTCTTTACAACCCAAAGTATCGGACTTCGACTCACCGCAGCATTTCCCCTGGGCACACCGAACACAAGGCAAATAGAGGAAAGAACTTGTGTGGTCTCTGCACTCATGGCCAGGCTAGAAGTTACTCAAGTTCCGCGTGATTCGATGCTTATCAATGCTTTACAGCTGCACCGCGTCTAGTACTTATCCTCCAACTCAGCTTCTCAGACGAACTGTCAAGCCGCAAACAGAAGCTATATCTCTCTCTACAAATGCGTGTGTGTTGCAGTGAAGATATGTCATGACGTTTGATGGCTGTGCATACGAACAAAAACGTCAAGTCTTCGAAGAGTGCAAAACGGCCCCTGTGCCAAAGCTCCCTCGTCACCGGCCGGGTAAAGCAAAGAGTACTTCACATACTATCAGGAGCGGTTTGAGGCTTAAGGGCAACGACGTTCTTGCTTTCTGCTTTGCGAGGTCGAACCACCTATGCTGGCAACAGGGTTTAGTTCAAGCTTGGTTCAACTCCCGGGTATACCGTACCTGATATTAACTACTGTAACTCTAGGACTCTAGGGATCTCGATGTTTCGAGCTGAACAAAGCTTTCATGGCTCACGCCACCGGGGCCGGGCGAGTGCTCTGGGGCTTCAGTTGAAGGAACCCTCGCTGAAAGCCCATCGGATCTCCAAGTTCCACGTAATGTGTTGCGAAATGGTGAAACGACTGGTGCACATGGTTCGGAACTCATTTTGATCTCGAGTGCAGGTCGAAGCATCGTGGATGCCGTACTTTGGACTTTGGCCGTTGAATCGAGACTTGAGCGAAGACGTCGGGCTCCCAGCTAGTCAACCGAGGCGCAAAGGCAAAACAAAAAATCATAAGGGAGGTCATGACCGAGTGGCGACTTTCCCGCGCCACCTTCCCCATAGCAAAGGACCTCCAGAGCGGCAGAAGGAGCCGCAGCGCGAGTACAAGACTGTGGTCTCGGTCTGATGCTTACAACCAATGTCGTTCCCCAAAACGTTGTTCGGCCATCAGGTGCCCAACACCACATTCGTCTTCATCGTCATTGAATCACTGTCATCACCCTCCCAATTGGCCCAAGCATCAGCATCAACAGCATCATCGCGCTCGTCATTATCTAGACAACCCTCTTTCTCCCAGCATACTCACCATCAACAGCATCGTCGCCGTTGTCGCCAGCTTCGCTACCATCATCCTCCAATAGAGATATATACCAGTCCGAGTTGCTTCGCTGTCATCACCGCCTTCGGTGCTCTCCTCATCAACATCAGCGATTTCTCAAATCATCTTTCACATTCATAGCAATCTCACCCATCTCACCGTCATCCTCATCTCTCCCTGCTCACAAACTCCGTTCCATGACATACAAACATACATACCAGTATACATGCATACACACATCCATGCATCGAACCATCCATTCATTCATGCAGAGAAGCAAACAACGCAGGCAGTCAGGCAGGCAGACATACACAGATTCACAGATACAGATATACATGGATGCATGCATACATACACACCTGTGTATACTCTACATATCTTCGTGTTTTCATTTTGTCTACACTTGTGTTCCGAGCCCGGCGACCGTCGCGTTGTAGCCTTCCAGGACGTGCTGAGTCAAGTCCCGGCCCAGCCGCTCGAAAACTTCGGCCTCAGGAGGCTTCAGGATGCTTCTGCTGCAAGCCCAGAGGTGGTGTAGCAGCAATACAGAGGCCGCACTAATTAGAATAGGGTTTGGGGGCCGACTATACTATAATCATAACAAGGAGCCCCCAAAATAGTATTGGTAATTATATAGGCCCCTACGTTGTAGCTGTTCTAGTCGTTGTAGTGGTAGCAGGTAGATGCAAGTGAGGACGTCGTCGTCGTCATCGTCATCCTGGTCACCTCGTCGTCCTTCAGGAACCCGATCGCGAGGACATTTGATGCCCGACGAAAATCCTAGTAATATAGGGGCCTTAATAATTAGAATACGGTTTGGGGTATATTATACTATATTTACAATAAGTAGCCCCCCCAACCCCTATTCTAATTGTTCAGGCCCCTACATCATTCGGGCACAAGCAACAGGGCACCTGGATGTCTTGACAGCACTGAGTCACTGGGTCTCCAGACCTGGGATACGCTCTCGTCGAAAATGTCCGAACACAGGAACTCGCGAAGCCGCACAGAAACCTGGGGCAGCTTGCAGCTTGGCACTGAGACGAGGACAGGCCAATAGGGTTTTGGGGGGTTACATATTATAAATATAGTATAATGTAAACCCCAAAAGAAATATTCAATACACCGAAAGCGAATCGACAACGAAGGAGTTGAAACAGAACGCGAACGTCCAGAACTTCAATTCCACATGAGCTGTGACAGCCGGGGAAACCATACTTTGTGACTCAGGACCCTGGCCTGCTGTGGGCATTATGGGTGCGATGGTAATGTGGCTGTACTCATCTTCCCATGGCTCTTCCTTACGATACCTGCTGCCTGGAGCCCAGCAGGCAGGGACAAAAGTCATACCCAAGCCCGAATCTCATGTGACGAGGCTTTCTGGTCCAGTGAATGCAGAAGCCCGGCGCGGAGGCAGCTACCCGATACTAGATGACGGCCCTCTGAATGTGTCGGATGGATCGCCACTTCGTTTCGGGATTTGTGCCTTCCAGGTTCAGAGGCTGACGGGTGCAGGGTTTGAAGCAAGCTCTGCTCTCCTGACCACTTCTTGCAAAGATTCAAACTGCTTGCAATCAGTTTATGCGAGCCTCCTTGGAAACGTGACTTGCTGGATGCCAGATAGTACCACCCCGGAGCTTGTTGTCCAAGTCTACAGAACCCGTTAAGTAACCGTTTTTGTGCCTCCAGCCTAAACCCTAAACCAGGGCTTCTTTGCCCAAATCACGGAATGCGAAATGGGAAGTGCCACCTGCATCCTCGTGAGGCTAAGTGCTTTGGGCGTGAAGGTGCTTTTTGTTTAAAGCCCTGTTCCTCCGTCTGTGCTTCATAGATCGGGGTATTGATATGGCGGTGCCGTGGGGCTTGAGGGCTTGTGATTTTCCTACCTGCAAAGCCTCAGGACTTAGCTTCGGGTTGTCTTTCTTGGGGCAAGGATGTTGGGCGGGACCGGGAGCCGTGCTTAAACCCGAATTCAAAACGAACTTCCGAGACCCGAAACCGTCCTAACCAATCAAGACACAATGTCAAGCCCGAAAGTCTCAATAGCTCCAGGTAGCCAGACCCCTGTCCACATCCAGATCGAATCCAGGCTCCTGCTCCTTTCCGACGAGTCCGGGCTCAGAGAGGCTCAGGATCTAGGAATTTTGGGTTCAGCATACATTGGGGACTTGTTGCAATCGATTTCTTTCTGCAAAACACTCAATCGTCCTGCTCCAAAGCGCCAAACTCAGACGCGAAAGTGAATCCGTGCACAAGCCCTAAACCCTAGACTCCCTAAACCCCCACAAGCCTCCTCGGTGCGTAGCGGCCGACAGCGGATGACAATGCGCCTGGGTACGAAACTTCGAACCCTTGGAGCCTCCAAATCCGAAACTGTGATAATATAGGGGCCTTAATGATTAGAATAGGGTTTAGTTTTGGGGTATATTATATTATAGCTATAATCAGGAACCCCCCAAAATAGTATAGGTATTTTTTCAGTCTTTAGGCCCCTATATTAGTTGCTTAGTTCCAGGGGCCCTGCAACATGCAGCCAGGCAATGTATGCTGACATTGGTACCCTGTCTACCAAAGCTTTCCGAATTCGGATACTGTGGTATGCTGGCTGGCAAGTGATTACTTGTCTCTTGTGGATGTATCGAAGTGTTCGCGCGATGGCCATTTTAGGCAACAGAACCGAGGCACGCAACAAGCTCTTGAAGCATGTTTGCTCTGAGAGACTATATAAAGAAATACCCCTCCCTCTAATGTTAAGAACCCCCTGGCCACAAATCCCGCTCCGGCAGGCGGCACTTTTTGGAAGTCCGGAAAGCCAAGCTTTGTCACAATGAAACTGGGCGATTCTGGACGATTACTGACCGAAAGGCTTTCAGAATCGGGCTGCGTGTGTCCCGCGCCTTCCTCTGCGCACAGCATACTGCACATACCTTCCGCACACTGCCAGAGACGCAAGTTCAAGCGGTCATAGTTGTTGTCACAGAGAAGCAAGGGACCGACGAGCAAGGTTGCTCAGGGCGCCGCGGGCCACGCATGAGCCAACACTGGAGATTCTATGGGCACCAGCCTCAGCACTCGTCGTAGGACTCCCGGAGCCCATGGCCCAAAGTAGACATTGAAGCAGCTGACATCCCTCCTGCCATAAGGAGATCAAAGCCTGAAACAGGGAGTCGAAGACCCAGCGGTGCACATGACCATGGTCCAGATAGCGCCACTTCTTGACTTCCGAGCCGCTGCGCCCCAGATGCACAAGACGGACATCAGGCAACGCATTCACGATGCGCCACACTGAAAAACTTGCCATACCCATCCAGCTCGGGGATACTGAGCTCACCGCATCCTAACCGGGCTTCGCAAACTGTTCAAGTGCAATATGCTATGCATGAAATAGTCCACTGCATCAGGCATGCTGCCCGCTTGATGGCGACACCAGGGTGTTCGCTGTCTTGAAGGTAGCCGAGACTCCCACAGAGGCGGACAACCGTGAGAGAAAATCAAAGCCGATTTAACTTCAAACAGGCGCGCCTGCCTCCTGGGAACCTTAATTCCCAGGCTCCGTCTGCGAAGAAACTGTACAAGCGAGAAAGTTGGCTTGTCAAAATCGGCCTCGGGGACGGAAATGTGACTTCCCTCCCAGTACAAAATGGGCTCGAAGAACACAGGCAGGTCTGAAAAGATGACAGGGATGCATCCGGCCAGGATCGCCAAAAAGAGCACCTTCGAGCTCGTGACAGGACAGTAGATGGAATCTTTCAGGATCTTGTAATCCTCGGGGTGCGTCGCAGGCTGGTCCGTCCATCGTACGCGACACTCACCCGGCAAGCAGTTTCCAGACAAGTCCTCCGCCAGCTTCAAGACGTGCGCCACGCCCGTCGCATTCCGTCTCGTGGAGCTCGGGCTCCTGCTCCCCAAAAATCCGATCAGTGCTTTCCGATCCCGGTTTGGAGGTCCTGCATGATACCTCCAAAAAGGCACATAGTAGGGAAGCACCAGGGCAAAATCATTTCGTCGCATGGCATGCCTACCAGGCATGCCATCTGCCGTAGTGGCCATAATAGAACGACGCGTTACACCGCCTCTGATATGCGTGAAACTGGGTAGGTGGTCCAGCAGGATGACATGGTCACGACCTTGATGAAGCTGCCACCTTGATGTCGCCTCCAGCCAGTCCAGAAGCTTGAGGTAGCTTGGGCAAGGGGTCTGCTCCTCTCCGGCAGCCAGACAGAAGGCCTTTTGCCAGACCAAGAAAAGCAGCAGTTCAGCTTTCTGCGGCTCCTGCACCAGCCTCACCTGGGTCCCCAAGTGAGCGAAGCGGATCCATACTAAAAGCCGAAATACAGACAACTTAACAAGAATCCCAATCACACAGACCAGTCACTTGCTGCCAGCGGCTTTCAACCACGGCTCGCAGCTCCTTTTGCAAAAAAACATCGGGAAAGGATAAGTCCAATTCCTCCTTAGTTGGGGAGCAGTGGGTTGGGGTTTGACTGGGAATTCTAGGTAGCGTCCAGAGTCACCAAAGCTGGTTAGGTTTCGGTCAGTCCTCGCTCCACCCCCGGCTACTCCGGCTTGAAGCAAGGCTAACAGTTGTTTCTTTTTTCCCTCTCGCATTCTACAACTGTTCAGGGTGAAGGGTTGAGGATCACGGAAGGAAACTGAAACTACATGTGAGGGAAAGGCAGCTAAGTGGGGAGGCGCCCGGGTATCGCAACCGTATAATATGGATATGCGAGGAGGTCTTCAGGGTAGGGCGGCAATGTGCTTGTCGCTCCCGAATCGCTACCAGATGCCAGAAGAACACACGGAAAGAAAACATATGAAAGGACATGAAAGGTTTGCTTTTCAACCAAGACTCACTCCGGTTCAAGACGCTCCAGGGACTCTCGGAGAGCTCATAGTAGTCGTCCCACAGCCGAGGACTCACTCCACTCAGCCCTGGGCGAAGCAAACGGAGCGCGTCGTGATCGTAGATGTACACGGTGGTGGACTTTTGCGACTCTCTGCAATGTGCAGGCGACTCCGGGCGACGAAAAAGCATCAATGTTCTCCTGGTTGGGGTTTAGGGTTTAGGGTTGCAAGACTATTGGTCTAGCATTGGCTAAATGACCCAAAGCAGCAACAGAACAGCAAGATTCCACGAAGGTTGTCCCAGAAGCGCTTTGAGCCCGAGGAGTAGTAGAGCAAACAAAAGAGAAGCAAACGCATCGTGCATCGTCATCCCGAATCAGCAACAACGTCAGCAACCACATAACAAAACCCTGCGTCCCATGATCAGCGGCAAGTCACTTGAACCAGTGACAGGTTTCAGCAGCGGCACGAAGATTCAGGCTGCTCTCAAGATCGAAGTAGAGGCCGAAGCTTTGCATTCGGTACACCACATACTCATTCCACTGTTCGTTCACATGTCCCTGGCCTCCTTGACCCGGGACGGCCCAGCTCCTAAGTGTCGCAGGTATCACTCTTCTCTGTTCAGTCAATCATGCTCAGGCTCTAACATGCAACATCTTACAATACTGTAAGTACCGTACTACCAGTTATCATATTGTACTTTTTTCCCTCCCGCCTGGCTAGGACGAACCTACGAATTGTACTATAGAAGCTTATGCTATAAAAAAATTGCCTTGGACCCTGATGTTTCGGGGCAGAAAACCACGAAGACGGTAACAACACAAAAACATAAGGTGATATCAAGACGCAGTAGTACACCGCAGCGAGCAGGGCGCACGATGTTTGCCAGCGCCGTCTCTTCAAACTCGCCAGGTATGTGCTCTGTAACTTCGGTACACAAAGTCCAGTCATGAGCTCGGATCAACGAACTCAGATCCACAGTCAAGTCTGCCTCAGAAACGAGGCCACGCGTAAGATTCCTGATGTTGGGCATGCCGTCGTAGGCGGTGACCGACTCAGCATGGGCGACGTCTAGCAAATAAGAAGTGTAACAGCCACAGCCAGCTCCTGACACTGAATCGCATGAAATGAGGCATGCAATTATAGTGAGTAAGAAATGCAGCAATAAGCCTGAGTTGGCCATAGAAGCTTGTAACGCCTGAATACAAGCACCCCTGACCTCAAGACTGAGTACGAAACGAGAGACCCCCATAAATCCTCCAACTCGTACGGCTCCTTGCGATGGATTTGAGATCTCCCCGCAAGCACTTCTGAGAGCCCATGAGACTGAAAAGCTCTCAACACCTAGATGCGAAGCCTACTGTACCGCCTCCAACCTCGACAAGATGGACGGCTGAGGATGCCAGTAGCCAGGGTTCAGGAGTCGGGGTGTGAAACCAAATCAGATCCATGCCAAGACCCTAGAGTCACTACAGAAAGAACAGAAACAAAAAAAACGCCTCCTGCTCTGTGAAAAAAAGGGCTTCTGCCAGCCGAGGCTCCAAACTCCAGAACGCTGGACTTGGCAAAAGTGAGGCCCATGCGGTGGGCCAAACCAACGTCCAGAAGGTACCTCCTGGCTGCTCCCAAAAGAAGGGGTGTACCATCCCACCTTTTTCACAAGGGACTCAACTGCTGCCCACCTAAACCTGCAAAACTAGTCTTAAGCAGGTGAACTTGGCAAAAACCAGGTCGTCCTGTGGCAAGAGCGAAAGCCCCAAACTCCAGACTTCTCGTCAATGCTGATCGCCCTCTTAGATCTGTCACCTTGGTTGGTTGCTGAATTCCATTACGCTCTCGTCAGCCAAACAGGACGCAGTCAGAAAGGCTTGAGGTGTGCTCTAAGCATCTCTAAACCCTGAACCGTAAATTGCTGTAGTCACCCAGTTTCGTCGCACACTTTGGCCGCCAGCTGGAATCACTCGTTGGACGCGCTGTCCTCCCAGTACGACGTCGTCTAATGCTACTGAAGATCGTGTGACAGTAGAAATGACCCCAGCACTTTTCCTAGCAGTAGCTATTTTCTGGCAGTCATCGTAAGTCGCAATAGTATCACCATAGTAGTCATAGTACTTGTAGCAAGTGCTAGTATATAATGCTTGTAGAAGAAGAAACAATTTTAGCACCACCGGTCCTAGGAGCGACGGCTTAAGGCTTAAGGCTTTAGTAATACGTGTCTTCGTCTGGTAATCGCTGTCGCTTACTAGCCGTTGTACCGGGGGCTGCTGCTGTGGTAGGGGTTGGCTGCAGCAAGGGTAGGATAAACACCAAACACACAACTGCAGCAAGACATGGGAACAGCCGCACTGCTGCAACAGCTATACAAGTCACTTGGCACATGCAATGAGCGTAAGGCAATGTAAGCTTGAGGCCTAAGTGTGGACATCATCAATCAGCATGGCGTCCTTTGCAGATCCTGCCATGCAGCGTCCACCACACATGGGATCAGCAAGACCAAGCTGCGCATGAATGCTGCAGCCCATATGACACTATGTGTCTCCGCGTTGAGGCGTCAAATTTTGCAATGCCCGGATGTGCCTAAAGTCGGGTTGCCAACTCCCAGTGACCCGGAATGTTTTGTATGCCTGTCGTGGCGCCCCAATCACAAAGAGCCATGTGATATATCTATTGTCCGGGGCTCTCTTCGAGAAAAGCTGCAGGGTGTTGCAAAGCTGTCGCTCTTTCGTGTCCGGGCCGAGTTTGTAAGCTCATGGCATTCTGAGGACGGGCATCGGATCGGAAGGGCATGGGGGCTGTGTCCAAAGGAGGCAAATTTCTGAGATCTATCTGGGCTAAGCTTCGGGGAGGGGCCTTCGGATCTCCCGAAGTTCTCAACCCGAAAGGAGCCCAGGCGCATGTAGTTCTTGGTCTCATCCTCCGGGACGACAAGGGCCATGACGTCTGAGCCGTCAGCAAGGCCACTCTGGTCGAGCCTTGCCTCGTCCTTTGCCGGCTTCACCACAACTTCGAAGCCCGTGAGTTTATTTTTGGGACTTGGGCTTTAGGATTATGGCTTTATTTGTTTTCAAGTTAGGAGTTGCCAGTAGGAGAGCTCAAGCAAGTAGTCCAAGGGTTTGGAGCTTGAACCCGTCCAGACTGGACGCCATAGAGGGATGAGGCTTTGCTTTGAATGGGTCGCTGGCTTCGACGTGGATTGAATTGCTGCGGCTAGTTATTGCAAGTTGGATGGTGCTGTGGCATGGAGCTGTAGTTAGGCTCAAGGGATGGATTTCATTTTGGACGGGCGTCCTCTCCCTGCATCGAAAGGCCTCCCTATCACGACAAGTAGTGTGAGCCCGCTCTCGGATTGCACCTATCGCTGGTTCGTGTAAGCTGGACAGCGTGCGAACCATTCCTCGAATCACGTCGCATCCAGAACAGCCTCTGAAGGACAACAAACGAATCTCAAAAGGCTCTCTGATCGCAGAAGCGCTGATTTCCTCCTGTGGTTGCTGCTGCTACCGTGCAAGTGGCTTTCGACATCTGTACACCTCGGGACTATGACTGCGATCGCTACGAACCAGTTTTGCTGCACCCGTCCTGGAGTTGAGCTGTTCCCAGCATGAGACGCAGCTGCCTGACCTTGCGGCCACTCCGGCATCTGGGATTCAGCAGTCAAGGACTGAAGCAGGTGAGTCAGTGAGGAATGGTTGCACAAAGGTGCCATGTTGTCTACACTCCACCCCGGTTCACCCCCCCTCTCTCCCTTCTTGGCTCGGTGCAGGCTTTGCCAAGCTTGCCGTCCTCTCTTTACAGCAGCATTCCCCCTTGCCATCAGCATAGCTTATCATCTCCCCGGCTCGGTGCAGCCAAGCCTTGTGTGCTGCTCCCCCCTCCCTCTCCCGCCCCTCCGTTTCATGCTCGGTGCAGCCTTGGCAGCAGCATTCCTGGGAACGGTGCTTCTGTTCGCTGGAAGACAGTTGTTATGGTGATGATCGTCATAGTCGCAGCCACTGCTACTCTTGACTTGAAGGTCTTTTCCTGGGACACAGCACCCCCCACCTCCGGACCACCCAGCGCCCAGATCTGCTGCTTCAGCTCCCGTACCTTCCAGTCGGACGACCACAGGAATTCGGCTTGGCAGGCTCGGGGTTGGGGTGCTGCAAGAGGCATAACCTCTCAGGTGCGTAGATTCTTGGCTTTCGGAGGACAGCCCCGAAGATCCATGCTGAAATCTTGGTTGCCAACAGCCGAAGCTCAACAGCTGCGATCGTCCAGTCTGCTATTCAGGCTCTTTACCTGCTTTCCTGCCAGTATCTCGTTAGATTCAAGCCCGAGCCATGATCATGCCACGGCACGCTGCAAAGCGGGTCCTTAAGTGACAGCGGGGCACATTTTCGTGGATGCAGGTCTCTGAGAGTGGGACGTGAGATTCATCCACAAATCTCGCAAGTCCTACATACCCCATCGGGTTGTTCTCCCCACTGAATCCTTTATCCACGCTCTGCTTTTGTGCCTGTTTGCTCACTTCCTTGCACTTGGCCTACACTGTCGGTTTTGGGGCATGTCACAGGATAATAGGAGCGGTCGTACCAAACATAATCTTTCTTTGAACTACAGCAGCCTGACACATGACCATGACGCCAAGGTGCTGCGGACACTCGGGCGATCGCCTCGCCCGCGAGTGACAAAACCTTGCTGGAGCTCTCCCCATCCACAAAACTGAACTCAGAAGCCCAATGCCATGTGTTGCATCTGAGACTCCACGGACTCCTTTTTGCATCTGAGACTCCACGGACTCCTAAAAGCGAAACGCTCCTGACTCCTGAATCTGAGTGGCCGGTCTCTGGCGAACCCGGTCTTAAGCTGTTTACCGCTTGCGAAAGCGCCAAGCCAGGGAGCGCAAGAGCAAGGTAGTAGTTATATATCCCCTGAAGTGAGGAAGGTTCACTACTTGGCCGAAAGATGCGTGTTCGAATTCGCCGAGGAGCATTGATGGCCATGGACCGGGCCTCCTTTTGGCTCCGACCTGGGCCAGCGAAACTCCTCACCACTCACCACCTGCTTACCAAGATTCACTCGCACCCCAGAGTTGGGAGTCTAGGGAATTTAGGAGTATATTATTGGCTGTACTGTTGTTCCGCCGGTTTGACCTGACAAATTACAAGCATTCTCTCAACCGAAAAGGCCAGGCAGCAGTCCACAGAATACCTCACCATGGAAACGGAGATCCTTCAATACCCGTCGGTTTGGAGGATCTTAAGCCGAGAGGAGAACAAAGATCTGCACACCGAAGTTTACTCCAACCCGGAGGCTCAAAGACTTCCCAAGCTCAGAGCAGGCATGATGCCAAAGCTTGAACCAGAAGCCTTAAGCCCCAAAGTCTGAAACAAGAGTCGAAACACTTCGAAGGGGGTTTGGGTGTGGTCTGCATTTAGATGATCAACATGAAAAGGGACGATGCAACTTAGTACGGGGATTGTGGGGGCTCCTGTGCCGAAGTCGACAACCTGAATGTAACGAGGCTTTACCCACTCTGGGCTTCACACGCGGCGTGCAAGCGGAGGCGTCGCGAGGCGTATCCATGGCCGAGGAGAGAAAACGAGTTCGGGGCCAAGGCCCTGAGTCCTAAACTTTCAATCCTTTTTGCATCAGGGATTAGGGTTTAGGGTTGAGGGGGAAACCGTAAACCCCCAAGCCCTAAGCCCTAAAACCAGAAGAAGCCCAAAGCGAAAACCTCTGGTGTCAATACGGCGTCTGGGGCTCCAGGGTTCAGCTCGGCTTCCGGCTGTTTGAGGAGCTTTAGAGTTCAAGGCTTTGGGGGTTTTCAAGGTTAGGGCCTCGGGGTAGGGCTCAGGGAGTAACACTCTCACAACTCGGACTGCAGGGCTCAGGGTTGTAGGGTTTCGGCACACTTCTGGTTGTGTGCTTTCGGGTTTCGGGTATAGGGTTTGCTGTCGGGGCAGTCCACCGTAGGAGCTCTTTGTATATAATGGCTCAAGCTCGACGATGCAGACATTCAGCGACTCCGCTTTGCAAGCCCAAGAGGGCGGGCTGGCAATAACACAGATACAGCCATAACACAGGGCCATAATAGATAGAGAAGGGTTTTCGTGGAAGGTAGAAAAAAATGGAAGATATTTAACCAACACCAAAGAACCCCATAAAGGCTGCCTGGATGCCTTAAACAGGCGCTGTGCCTCCGCGCTTAGGTTCGGGTTCGGATCCTTGGACAGACCGTGCACTTAAGGGCGGTCAGGGCCCATCGTAGATTCTCTGGTTTTCGCTCTTAAGGTGGGAGATTCGCATGGGCAACCAGCTTGGGCCTTGTGGGCTTATGTATTGAAGGCAGGCGAGATCGTGATGAGGGTTGCTCGGTGGTGACGGAAGCCGGCGAGTTCGAAAACGGCTGACTTGGGGCTTGAACTCGATCTGGGGTCATGGTTGAACGATGAGCTCAGGGACTTCTGCATTTGGGCAGTGAGGGGTCAAAGTGTGGCGCCATCTGCTCTCGAAGTTGCTGTGCCTCCGTTTCTCGGGAGGCTGGGGCAAAGGTCAGGTTGGATTTGGGTTTGGAATCTCGCTGCACTTTCTCGTGGTTGGATTGGCATTATTAGCGACTCCGTGCAGAATTCAGATTCTCTGCTTGATCCTGCCAGCACTTGCAAAAATATCTCCTGCTGTACTTCAGCCTCGAGCAATCTCACATGGGCCTTAGAGATTCTTGATGACGGCCTCTCACATCCCTATTTTGCGTCAGGACTCGTCCAATCGCCGGAAGGTTTGAGAATACGGAGGTTCAGCTCTCATGACTGCACTTCCATACCTTGTTCACAAAACTCCCGGCGAGCACCAAGCCCTGAACTCTAGTATAGAGACTTTAAGGGTTTTGGAGCCCATTATACTATAACTATCATCAGGAACCCCCGAAATAACGTAGGCAATGATTGAAGCCCCCATATTAGACCGCATCGACTGAGAGCTTGTCCGGTGACTGCTCTGCATCCTCCTCCCAACCTTCAGCTTCGAAGCTCTGGGAGGATCCATCTTTGCTAAGATCAGGACCTTTAGGGTTTTTTTTTCCGTCTCGCATGGCAGAGAACAAAGCTCACAGGCGAGGTTTGACCTTTTTTTTTTTTTATCACCTCTTTTCCTTCGCCTGAAAAGGTGTCCGGAATACCATGTTGGTTGAGGCAGGATGATGGGAGCTTAGCCTTAAAGGGGGAAACACCACCAAAATACCACCTAAATCCATGTACTGCACATTTGTTACCAAGCTCCCAGGATCGCAAACTTGTGCCCACAGCACAGGTTTGACCTTTAGGGTTTAGGGTTTAACAGCCTGAATAGGGTTTGGGTGATACTTATAGGGAATCAAATGAGGAGGGCATACTATAATAAATTGTTCCGACCCACGAATTATCTTGAAGGACTTGCAGGTGGCTGGCTTCCTAGTGCATGTCGATATGGCTTTCATGCATCATTTCTATGTGCCGTCCATGCACGCAGAACAGCAAAAGAGTCGGGACTGTGCCACTTGCAATTCAGCCAGATGAAGGATGGGATTTCGAAATTGGGGTGTCTTGCAGCAGGCTATCACTCCAACCTCCCCTGAGCATGCCACCGATCGGTGTGGGGAGGTCGTGGATTTCGTCGCACACGTGATGGTACCACCACCTGCGATTGCTGGGGGAGGGACAGGGGCTTGGTTCAGCGCATGGCCTTGCCACCTGTGATGCACAAAAACCAGAAACTACGGCCATCAAAACACAGCCAAAGTCGGGTCACGCAGGATTTCAACAGCATAAAACTTTGTGCTTCGCGACGCAGCATTGGAGAATTCTGGAACAGACATCCCCAAACTCCGTAATCAACGAGCCCATAGGGACCCTGTGCTAACGGGCCACACATCCGATGTCTCTGCGATTGCAGAGGTCAGTGTTTCAATCGAAAAGATGCAGCCGGAGAGGCCAGCGCTGGACGCCGTCGACCAGATCGCCAGAAACGGACGATTGCCCCTTGGCCCTGGGTGCCGGCACTGCGAGAGGGAGTCAGCAAAAACAGGGTTCAGGAGTTTAGCATTGAGGTGTCGCCGGAACTCAGCCCGTGCTTCCTCAGTCTTGTTGAATTGTGCGAGCGGAAGCTCCACAACGTCCGAAGCCGTTCGAAGGTGTCAATGGGATCTAATGGGTGCATGCATTTCGAACCGAACGATGGCGGATCTTTGTTCAGGCTGTCATGTGCAGTAAAACCCCGGAGAGCCAAACCCTGAGAAGCTGAGAACACCGCGGCGTACCGTCTACGGCTTACGGAATTAATCGGTTAATCGACATTCCCAGGACCCCGCCGGACTTAAGAAGGAAAGACCACAGACAAACCACTCAATCCTTGACTCACAAAGCCTCAACCTCTGCTTTCCAGGTAGCGCATTCAGCCGCTGCAGGTACGACACCTGAAGCTGTGCGGCCGGTTTGCAGCAGTGCAGCAGCATTGGTCTTGGCTGAGGACAGGTGGCCTCTGATTACAAGTTGTCGTCATGAAACAGAAGAGACGCTCGAAGCAGAACCCGCAACGCCTGTGACACTCACCGCACCGGTAACTATTCAACCAACTGTAGTTGTCACAGTCTTTTACAGGCCGAGATCTTGAATGTCAGCACAGCGGCAGAGTGACGTCTGCACAAGCCACGCGATCACTGGATGGAACAAAGAGACCGCCAACGACAGCATCAGCGGCAAACAGTAGGTACACAGTATCTTCACTTTTCTAGAAATTATCATCATTGTAGGCTAAGCTTTCGATCTTAAAGCTCTGAATAATCTCCACCCCTGCGATGCCTCGCCGCCGGCTCCAGGATCCAGCCGTGGGCGCTTAGCTAAGGGCTCGGCGAGGCCCGGCGATGCACCTTCCCAGATGTCCCAGGGGCCTCCCTAGCTGGGACGAGCCCGCATTGCAGGGTTAAGCTGGAGAGAACGGTTTTCTGGGACCATGGTTCAACGGCTTCTGAAGTTAATTCAGGCTCAGGGGCGAGCTTATTGGGGTTCAGGACAGCATCAAGGCCACTTTAGGCCAGCCCAGGAGTTGCAGACAGACGGACCCGAATATAGAATCCTCTGCAGTCATTGCCACAAGCGCCCCAGGATACGGCCCATTGCATAAAACCGCAGATGCTGACAATCGTAAACACTCAACCCCCAAACCCTAAACCAGTGTTTTTGACGAAGCTTTCCCGTCCTTCCACAAAGGCGGCCACGTTCGCCTCTGCAGTCGCACAGAAGTTCTGTGTGCAGCTCTCGCAGAGGATCTGAGCGGGGATGCTGAGAAGCGGAGAGGCTTTAGGGCGCATGGCCCTTAGCGCTTTGGTGCATTGGGGGTGTGAGGTTTTTTGGGGTGTTACTGCTTCGTGTTTAAATTTAGGGGTGCGCTTTTGTTTAGGGTTTGTGGCTCGTGGTTTTTATGAGTTCTTAACTACAAGGAAACTACAACTGATATTCCCCTATCGAAACGCATGCTTTAGCAGCTCTTGAGTGGCCTGAGGGCGAAGCTACTTGACTAAGTTCGATCTGCCAATGTGTGTGCCTGTGCTTTTTTTTGGACAGAGGTGGCTAAGTCTGGCTAAATGCCCTCCGAAAGCTGCACAAACTTGCCCAGGCAGGCGAAGTAGGATACCAGGCGGGATAAAGGAGATACTGGAAAGACTGGCTCCGTCGTCGCCTCAAATCAACGGCGGAGCTCCTAAACCGATTCTCGATGGCCTTCCGGCGAGGCAGAGTCAGCGCCCACTGCCCGACCTCGAGCGGACAGCCCGAAGGCAAAAACACGAAGAGCCCTGGAACGCCCCTGCGTTCAGCAGCTGGTCGGAAACACACACGCTCGGTGAGATCCTAGAAACACCAACACCAAGCCCAACCAAAGACCCTATGAACTCCCGAAGCACGACACCAAAACCTATCGAGGCCCTCATTACACCCCCTATATAACAAGACACTCAGCTATAAACAACCCTTAAGACTTAGCTGCCCAGTACCCTGGCCCAAAAAATTTTAAACTTCTCTTTTAGTCGGGGTTTAATATACACAAAAACTTTAAGGTTTACCTATTGGGCTCCTAAGAAGACCCTTCCAAAAACTTCTCAAACCCTCCAAAGCCTCCAGTCCGCAGTCCGTGCATTTCGGAGGCTCCTGGGCCGCCTCCGCGGGCCTGGGACAGTTTGGCACAGGGCCTTCAAACTTGGGGTGTCGGGCTTGGGGTTTTTTTTTTTGACACTCAGACAAGGACAAGCCTGGAAAGGTCCGATGCAAGGTTTAGGGCTGAGGGTTTGAGGCTTTTGAGGTTTTTGGCCTCCCACCTCGCTAGGACGAAGCCCACGTTGCAGGGAAAAGGGGGTTTTGGGTTCGGGGCTTTTGGGGTTTAGGCCGGTTTCGGCTTTGAAGTGTAGGATCTGGGTTTTTTTCTGGCCTCCCGCAACGCAAGTGGTTGCAGCGTCCAGGATCTCTCGTCAAGAAGCTGCGCACAACCACTCTGGATGATACTGCTTGTCCTGTTCTGTGCCTTGTGGATATGCCTGCCCCACAGGTTCCCGGGCTCCTTGAAACTTCTCTGCGCGCTCCCCGCGAATCATGTGCTTTTAGGCTTAGGTCCCTGCAGCCCAAAATCAGAAGATTACCGAGCCCTGCCGCAAGAAAGTCCCAGCCTTCCCCAAAACCTTAAGCCCTACGCCTTCACGGCACGAGGCGCCATCAAAGCCGAAACCCTGGCTTCTCTCTGCCGCGCTGCTTTTCCTCGGCTTTCTCTTCAGAAGCTGCAGGTGCTGGCCAAAAGCGCATGAGCTGCTCCTTCGCGTGCAGGGTGTGATTTCGGAAATGGCTAGATGAGGAGTCTCAAGAAAGCGTAGGGCCCTGGAGTTGCAGCTCGAAGCGGGGTTGGGGGATGTTGGGGGCAAATGCGGAGATTGAAAGTGCACTCCAGGTTCGCAAAAAGTTTCAGCTGCTGAGTGGAATCGCAACGACGGGACCAAGTTACAGCCAACAAGCACATCCCCGAAGATCTGATTTCTCAATCCCCGAGATCTCTATTCCGTTTTGTGACTCCTCTCTTGGAACCCTGCTAAACCCTATGAATGGTTGACGTGAGCCCTGACGGACACTGTCTATCCCACCCGAAGGCTTGCATTTGCAGTATAAGTCTTGGTGTACTGATAACAATGAAAGTTACTGGTATCCTCATGCTTGTACTGAGACTGAACAGTGATAGTGCAGTAGCCGGTTGCACTGGGCCATATGCTCGCAATATGTCGGACGAATAGAGAAGGAAGAGGCGGGGAAAAGAACATGGGAAGTGTTTTTACACATGGAGTTTAGTAGGTTCATACAAAAAAGTACACTTTACCTCAAAGGCAGCGAATGCCAGTGAAGAGTAGACCAAGCCCCCGAGCGCGCGCGCGCGCGCGATGCGCGTCATCACATAAGACGTGTCGGGTGTGCAAATTCGTGGCTCCACCATGGCAAGGCCAATTTACTGCCAGGAATAGATCCCTAGAAGAAAACCCAAATGTCCTGGCAGAGGCCCAGCATCTTTGTGGCATGGTCACCTGGTTAAACGGGCTCCCTCTATAGGCACCTTTGCATCGCTGGGCCAAGGTTCATGCTCGCTTCCCAGACTCCTGATTCCCCACGATTGCCCACACTAAGGTCTTTGGGTTTCCAAAGAGGAAGTCTCGAGAACTCATCCATCTGCCACTCCCGTGGCTGAGGTCCGCACGCCATGCGGCCAGGTAGACCCAGTTGCGGCTGTCCATTTCGAGCTGGTGGCCGATGCCTCCAGAAATATATCACTGGTGAGCCTGGACACACTGGAATCTTGAAGTGATTCAAGGCTCAACCCAAAACCTCAAAACTTACCTAGACCGGTGCTCCACGCACCTAAACCCTTCTTTGCATCAAACCCTTCCTGCAACCCTTACAGTCTTACAGAAACCCTCAGCCGCTCTCCCGGCCTATGCTCCAAAAGAGCACCGGCCAGGCACCGAGACGACCCCGACGGCCCGCCAAGATGGCGCCGGTCCTCGAAACATGGGATCGGGGCCGTTTCGACTCTCACACTCGCACAAGGCCGGCAAGGCTCCGCATAGTGCTGTCTCCGCTGCAGCTAGACAGCTGACAGAGAGAGAGGACGTCCATAGCTTTCCTACAACGCGTACGATAAGGGTTGCTATATCTAGAAATATGTGTCTAGCTGCATTTGCTTTTGACTGACGTTTGCATGTCGATATATTTACATAATAATGTAAGTACATATTCAGAAATGATGTGTAAAAACCAAATGGTTGGGTTGCGATTAATTTCCTGGCACTTCAAGACTTTAGGGTGTATTTCAGGTTCCTTTCGAGGTTACTCTTGGAGCTCTACAAAAATTGTGTGAGGCTGCTAGATCTAGTTGTTTCGCTCCTTGCATTACATCTCTGCTCCACTGCCCAGGGCTCCAGATGACCAAAAGGTCGGTCGATCCGGTGCTGATGACGACAGTGACGAAGCACTATGAGTGTAGGGGCCTTCCGAATTAGAACGACAACAACCACTACGACGACCACAGCGACGACGACGACGACGAATAAATACTAAAAGGCAAACATATTGCTTCTTGTCGCGACAATGACAGTGACGACCACCGCTGTTTATGACAATTTGATGGCCAACTCATCTTCATCTTGATCATCTTCCAACAATCTTTATCGCCCAAAATACCTGCGATAAGAACAGGTGGCGCTGTGGCAGCTGCCAGCGCAGCAGCCGCTGTCCAGCCCAAAGGCGCCGGGGCCTTCCAAACCATTTGTGGCATGTCTTCTATAATTCTGATGACGAGCAAGGCGGGGAGCAGCAGCAATGACTGTAAAAAGATATGAAAAGCATCAGCTAATCTTATAAGAATGAGAACAATACTAGCAACAGGAGTTTCTTGTGGTGGAGGCGAAGCAGCAGCAGTACGACAGCCCGAGGAGGAAAGAGCGGAATGCCGAAGAATTGAGCAGCCGATATGTAATCATTTTGACTTCGTACAGAAACGGCTGAGCGTGACGATAATGATTGCTAAGAGCGCACAGCTACGTGTTTGTGTTGGTGGGTTCATTTGCCAATAGGACCTCTCTCCACTTCTTGTTATTCTTCTTCCTCTGTTTTCCTCTCTCGCCGGCTCCCTTGTCAGCCTAGGGACAAAACATAGGGCTGACTGCTTCAAGAAGAAGAGCCCTACATGCACCCTCCAATGCGGGGTGGGAGACATGCCGCAGCAGCGCAGTCCAAACGAAGAAGCCAAACTTCCAGAGGGGAAGCTCATCAATGATCCCTCGGCACAAGCTGGAGGAAACGGGGCAATCAAGATCCAAAGCCTCTCCTGCCAGCAGGCATAATGGTGTGCTGTGTGCAACACAAGTCTGGCTATCATCCTCTTGATAAAAGGTCATTACATGCCGCATGTGCCTTCATCAAAGCCTTCAGAACTTGAGAACGGACCTGTACCGCCAGACGCCTGCGTAAACACTTAACGAACAAGTAATTAGTTTGATGCGCTACTCTGGCAGTATTACAGACTTCGACACCGGAAATACGTCCATTGCCTCAAAACTCCAAAAAATGTCTGGCAGACTTTGCCGCAAGCTGGAGGCAGTGTAAAGGAGTCACCATCACCAGGAGCCCATACTGGCTAGTCACTACATGCAGCAAAGTTGAAGGATCCCCACAAGCGCACGTCTCTACAAGATGTATAGCCGAGTGGGAGGCGCATGTGAGAGTTCGAGAAAAAACTCGCGATCCAATCCTAACTTGTGCTTCGCAGTATAGAATGCTCAACCGGCCGTGGCACGCACACTGTTTTCAATGACAGCGGCTGGGTTCCTTGCCGACTTGCCGGCGACTCCCTCAAGGACCCGAACCATTAGCAAAATGAACCCAAACCCATGTGTTGTTCATCGCTTTAGTCGTTCCAACCTGGACCCAAGTTCAAAACACAAAACCCTACATCTCCCCCGAAGCACGAAAGACTATCAGATAGAGCATGCTTTATTTCAAAATACTCACACCAGCTCAAAGGAACGGAAGATCCATACTCCCATTGGCAGGCCCTGCTGCCGATCATCGTCCTTCAGGGCTTAGGGTCTCGGGAGAGTGGGGACTTTTCCCTCCTACTAAGCAAGGACGAGCCCGCATTGCAGGGTATGTTCGGAACTAAGCTCTTGCACAGTAGAAACAAGCTCATTCTAGGGTTTCGGGATCGGGGTTTGAGGTTTGTGGACTCGGGTTTACACAGTCTACGATGTAGGCTTCGGCGCCTTCAGGCTTTTTCCCGAGGCCAGAACGAGAAAGACTGACTTGAGGGGTTCAGGGATCTTCAGGGTGCACAGGCTTGTGGGGACTAGGGTTGCATGTAGAGTTTAGATAGGAGGGCTCTCCGGAGTCGAGTTTACGGAGGCTTTCGACTCTCACTCTCACGCTCAAAATACTTTCAAAAGACAGAGAACTCCGTCATCACCACCATCAGCATCCATCGGATTTCGCATTTAGCCTGGGCGCTATCTTTTCACCAGTAAAATTTTAAACCCCTAAACCCCAAGACACCCCAGCCCTCACCCTCAACTCCAGACCCTAAGCCCTCCTCCCCAATACCCCGAGACCCCTCAGCCCAAGACCCTGAAAGCCTCAACTCAAGACCCAAAACCTAAAGCTCCACCCAACACGTCCCTGAACGCTGGGCCCTGCGAGCAGCCGGGGTGCTGCGTACGTTAGCGCGAGGAAGCTAAAGGTCAGGGCCGAAGCCGAGCAGAGCCACCGAAGCAGCATGCCCTCAGCTTTCAGGGTTTGGGATTTCGTATCCTAAAACCCTACTGTACATCCCTAATTCAACCCTAAACCGTCTTCCATTGCGAGCTTGTGAAAGCCAGTGAGTGCTGTGAGTAGAGCTTGCCAGCGCTTGATTCAGGTTGATGTTCGCGTTACCTTGTTGTTTCAGAATTTCATGTGTTCTTTGTTACCAAATAGGGTTTACCATCCATGAGTTGACAAGCAAAGAAGTTTCACGCTTTGACCATGACACATGGTCGTTAACGGACTCGTCTCTTTCTCAACTTAGGAGGCTTCGACTTTTTTGCAGGCACGGGGGTTCAGGCTTCAGGGTTTGAGTTTGGGGGACCGTCAGACTTGCAGTAGAAGTAGTAGTAATAGTAGTAGTCGTAGTCGTTAGTCCGAGTCGAAGTCGTTCGTAGTAGCAGTAGTAGTAGTAGTCGTCGTCGTCGTCGTCGTAGAAGTAGTAGTCGTCGTCGTCCTGGAATGCCACAACCATTGGATCCTCTAACCAGCCTTGTTCCAGCGCGGCAGCGCCAGGAGCCAAAGCACGGTCGCTGCAATGCGTGGGACCGGCCTCAGGCCACGAGGTCTTGAAGGATCATTTTATTGCAAGTATTTTTTACCATGTTTACGTTTTACTAGTGTTGTTGTTATGGTTGTGGCTGCTGTGACTCTTGCTATGAATTTTTAGGGTCTTAAAAGCTCTACATTCGGGTCACAAGAAGTTTAACTGTTTGACTTGTGGATTCAGCCTTCGCTTGACGGGGAAGTTTCTCATTCCGCTAAGACTAATGCCCCCTTCTGCATGAAGAGCTCAAAATACCCAAGATTGTCTGTTGAGCATGGCGACTGACTTTCCTCCTCAACGACCCAAACTAAGGTTTCTGTATGGGTCATTTTCTGCATGGATACTAAACGCCTCTCCAACGCAAACTCCAGTTCGGTTTATCTTCAACCTGAACAGCTCAAAGCACGGAGCCCCATGACTTCGGTGGAGTGCACGAAAGTTTCCAAGCTGCATACTTTTCGAAAGAAAGTTGTCGCGGACGAACTGTCAGCTTATTTTCGCCTGACTGAGTATGACCCTGCCAGCGTGTGGTTTATCCTGCCTACCAGAAACGTCGGTAGTACTTAACAGCCAAGTCCGAAAGCTACCCAACGAGGCCGCGTCTGGAGCCGGCCAATGACTTTTACTTAATGCATACTCTCTGGACATGTGGTAACAAGCAGATTTACGCCGCACCGAAAGCAACAGAGTCAAGGTGGATGTCATCTGTTGAGACTGTTGACATTTAACTTTTGGCTGGATAATGTACAAGATACACGCCAACAGCATTGGTACCCAGCTCCATACAACAGCTCGAACAGCAGGGGTGAGATGAGATTGATATCAAGTGTCTTACGTACAACTACCACTCATACCAGTTTGTCATCTTCAGGAACGTCCTGCATCGTTGGCGCCAGAATGCAAGAAACATGTTTATTTTTCTGGCATAAATCTTCACCTCAACCCCCGACCTCGACTGCTCCCGGATCTCATGTGCCATGCCACGCGGTCTTTGGCAAGCCGGCCAAGAAGCGCAAGGTGGCGAGCCTGACCAGGTTCAGACACGGTAACCGGTGGGGCGAGACCAGGTCCACACCTTCATGGGCCTCCACACTAGTCACTATTCCTACTACTCACACCAGTCCTGCTGGCTCGAGTCCGGTCTAACTGGGTTCTGTTCGCCATGGCAGCCGATAGCATCTAATGAGCTCGGACACGGGGCAAGATCTGCTTCCAGACTCCAACCTACACTAGCTGCACAAGACATGTGCTCGAGACGTTGCTACAGAGCTGCGTGAGAATCTGAAGTCATCAGCACCACGGCACGCCGTGCTATCCTATCATGACATGCACCGCCCGAGCCCCGAACCATGCTGCTGTGAGACCCAACTGTCGAGGCAAATCGCCTGCCCATGCAGCTTGAGACAGCTTGGGGGTAGAGAACCCGGAATCCAGAAAGCATCAAACGACTGTAGGTGATTCGGCCTAGTCCAACTGCTCTTCTTTCAGTTGTCGGGAATGGCTTCACACACCTTTCCGGGTCAGGTTAGGGTCTCAGCTCCGGTCCATCTCTCCTCAGGTCGCGCTGCGATCTGCGTACGAGTTATTAAAAAATGAAAAAGATAAGAAGACAGACAAGGAAAAACCAAAAAAACAAAAACACACAAATACTGCCAGGAAGATCCAGAAAGGACTCAAAGAAGACGACGGTGAACAGCAGCAGGTGCAAGAAGAATATAAGTGCAGCAACCGTGACATGCATGAAAGCAACACTGGCACTAATTACAACCGTAGCAATCGTGCAATAGTAGCAACAATGGCCTGTGACACTAGCAAAAGGAATGCAAAGGTGGGCGTTAGCTATCAAGACACCCTAGTGATCAGGAATCCCTTTAACAACGACAATTCCATAACGTCGCTGCAACGAAAAGTGTTGTTGTCTGTTGCCTTAATGCTCCAACAAACCGCAACACAACGGCCGCAGATGCATACCTTGGATGTATACACACACGAACTGAGCCACTCACATCACTAGCCTCATCTAAGGGCCTTCATAATCGGAACATGGTTTCGGAGCATATTATTACTCTATCTGATTATTCAATTACCCATATCCTGAAACCCCACTAGTACCCCTATAGAGCCTTCAAACGAACCCTTCAAGTACCCTCAAAGGTTCCCGACGCCGGGCTCTCGCAACCGGCCTGTGGGGCAGCCACAAACGCAGGATGTGCCCACTGCCACCATGGTCCACAACACCTCAAGGATTCTTGATTTAGGGTGTCGACTCGCACCCATATTGAAGTAGGGTGGAGTGTACAGGGTTGGGGTTAGGGTTTAGGCCGTGATGTTCTTGCTGCAGAAGCCGAACTCGGAAACTTGAGCCCTTGCTGGCAGGGGCCTCAGGATCCTGAATCAATCCGTGCCAAAACTTTGACCTGGACACCCTCTGTCAGCAGCTTCGGAACTTTGCGAATTCCAAGGCTTCCCCGTAAGATGGCAACAGTGCAGTCTCGTGCTTCCTGTCGTTCAGTTTCCCGCCCGCAGAAACCTAGGACCGAAATCACAAATCGCACCCATAGGCCTGACAAAGCTCGGAGCCGCATTGGTAACGAAGTCCCCCTACAGGCTTTGTGTAAACACGCGATGACACACCCCAAGATCTACGTTATAACTACATTGCGGCTAAATTACAGCCATACACTAACTATGCTATGACTATGCTACAAACCGCATTATACGGTGTCGCAGATGATCTGCCGATGCAGGGCGGGCCTGGCTATGGAGCGTTTCGTGGAGTCTCGACCTGTACCTTTGCACGAAGCTGGGAGCTGCAGCCGCAAAGTTATGGTAGTACTGAGTCATCCTGATAATAGTATTGATAATAATGTGGACAATGCTGGCCACAAAAACAAGAGTAAACAACAACAACAACAACAACAACAACAACAACAACAACAACAATAGGTTCAAGAATGACACACATATGTGTGTGTGTACAGGACCTCTGCACTTGTGTAAAAACACCTATGTTGTGCTATTCACCGCAAGACCCTGTCAACCTCTCCGAACCTCCGCTTCAGCCCACCCGACCCTCAACCCCTAACGCCCACACCCCGAGATGCCTGAACCGTAGCCCGTTCCTCGAAGTCAACCCAGTCAAGGTCGCATTGGAGTCGGCTCGCTGTTCTCAAGGGGCCACGAGCCTGGCGGAGCCTCACGACTTGGCATTCCCAAGGCAGAAGCACGGCGAGAGACAGAGAGAGGTAGATGCATGATGAGAGTAGGGAGTCGACAGACGATGGGGGGAGAGAGAAGGACACATAAAAAAGAGAGAAAGAAAGAGATGAAAAGACAAAACGAATACGTCAATGTGGGTTAGAAAATTAAAAACCCATCGATTCAACGCATCCAGAAACAAGCAGTCCCCAAAGCATAGTACCAGGCAGGGTTGCAGCTCGATCCGACCCAAGGTTCGAGTCCAGAAAGACAACAAAGGCGCGAAATGCCGCTCCTGCCTGGATGACGCGATACAGTCTCGCCAGGTCTATTTTACCTGACAAACGAAGATGAGACGTGCTGCTTTGGGCAGGGATTCTGAAGAGACGACGCGTTTCTGGTGCCCCTGACCAGCGAAAGCTTCAAACACATGGTAAAACACGTGGAAACACACACCGCAAACGCCAATGTTTGAGCGAGCCACGAGTGACCGGATGTCGGGGAAGGTCGGACACCAGCCACAACTGCAGGCGGTTTCGACTCTTACTTGCACACAGGCAGGCAAGGCTCCTGCGGAGACACTCAACCCCGAGTAGGAAGAAGAAAATTTGAAGGATCCAAGCTATGCTTTCGCCCCTCCGTGCAGAGCGAAACAGCCGTTCAGCAAATATCCCGCGCGTGTCTATGGCCCTCCTTTCCCTCCGCCTGCACCTTTGGCGGCAGCTTTTGCCTCACGGCGTCCAGCACACGGTCCGGCCTCCTGGGTTGGAATTCGACTCTAACTACTATATATCCTAAACTCAATTTCCTCGAAGCCTCAATCCATACATGCAAATGCGCCGCAGCATCTGCTCCCCGGACAGCGACAGGAAGGCATGGAACTGCTCATTGGCGTTGTCCTTGGTACGGGTTTCGGAGCTCAGTGTGCAGGGCCCAGGGTTCTCCCGAAATTCTCTGGTCTGTTTCGAGCGGTTTGCTCGTTCGTCTGGAATTCTCTGGCTCCCTTCGAGCTTTTTGCTCTATACTTTCAATTTCGCTAGTCTCTCTCGAAAGTCTCTGGTCTCTTTCGAACGGTTTGCTCCCTAGTACCTTTCGACCGGTTTGCTGATTGTTTTCAAATCGAAAATTTCTGGTCTCTTTCGAGCGGGTTGCTCCATCTTCTGCAACAATCTAGTTCCTCTCGTGCGGTTTGCTCCTTGCTTTCAGTTTCTTGAGTCTCTCTCGAAATTATCTGGTCTCTTTCGCGCGGTTTGCTCCTTCCTCTGAAATTCTCTAGTTCGTTTCGAGCGGTTTGCTCCTTGTTCTCAAATCGAAATTCTCTAGTCTCTTTCGAGTGGGCTGCTACTTCTTCCGAAATATTCCAGTTCTTTTCGAGCGGTTTGCTCCTTGCTTTCAATTTCTCTAGTCTCTCTCGAAATTCTCGTCTCTTTCGAGCGGTTTGCCCCTTCTTTTGGAATTCTCTAGTTCCTTTCGGGAGGTTTGCTCCTTGTTTCAAATCGACCTTCTCTAGTCTCTTTCGAGCGGGTTGCTCCTTCTTCTGCAATATTCTAGTTCCTTTCGAGCGGTTTGCTCCTTGCTTTCAATTTCTCTAGTCTCTCTCAAAATTCTTTGGTCTCTCTCGAGCGGTTTGCTCCTTCTTCTGGAATTCTCTAGTTCCTCTCTAGTTCCGTTCGAGCGGTTTGCTCCTTGTTTCCAAATCGAAATTCTCGAGTCTCTTTCGAGCGGGTCGCTGCTTCTTCTGCAATATTCTAGTTCCTCCCGAGCTGTTTGCTCCTTGCTTTCAATTTCTCTGTCTCTCTCAAAATTCTCTAATCTTTTTCGAGCGGTTTGCTCCTTGCTTAATCGAAATTCTCTAGTCTTTTCGAGCGGGTTGCTCCTTCTGTGGTTGCTCCTTCTTCTGCAATATTCGAGTTCCTCTCGCGCGGTTTGCTCCTTGCCTAGTCTCTCTCGAAATTCTCTAGTTTCTTTCGAGCGGTTTGCTCCTTCTTCTGAAATTCCCCAGTTCCTTTCGAGCGGCTTGCTGTTTGTTTTCAAATCGAAATTCGCTAACTTTTTTCGAGCGGGTTGCTCCTTGCTTCTTCCTCTAGTCTCTCTCGAAATTCTCTGGTCTCATTCGAGCGGCTTGCTCCTTCTGCTGGAATTCTCTAGTCCCTTTCCAGCGGTTTGCTCCTTGTTGTCAAATCGAAATTCTCTAGTCTCTTTCGAGCGGGTCGCTCCTTCTTCTGCAATATTCTAGTCCCTTTCGGGCCATTTGCTCCTTGCTTTCAAGTTCTCTGGTCTCTCTCGAAATTCTCTGGTCTCTTTCGAGCGGTTCGCTCCTTCTTCTGAAATTCTCTATTTCCATTCGAGCGTTTTGCTTTTGTTTTCAAATCGAGCTCTCTCGTCTCTTTCGAGCGGCATGCTGCTCTTCTGGAATTCTCTAGAACTTTTCAAGCGATTTGCTCCTTGTTTTCACATCGAAATTCTCTAGTCACTACGTAGTCTCTTTCGAGCCGGTTGCTCCTTCTTCTGCAATATTCTAGTTCCTTTCGAGCGGCCTGTTGCTTGCTCTCAATTTCTCTAGTCTCTCTCGAAATTCTTTTGTCTCTTTCGAGCGGTTTGCTCCTTCTTCTGGAATTCTCTATTCCCTTTCGAGCGGCTTGCCTGTGGTTTTCACATCGAAATTCTGTCGTCTCTTTCGAGCGGTTTGACCCTTGCTTTCAATTTCTCTAGTCTCTCTCGAAATTCTCTGGTCTCTTTCCAGCGGTTTGCTCCTTCTTCGGAATTTCTCTAAGTCCTTTCGAGCGGTTTGCCCCTTGTTTCCAAATCGAAATTCTCTAGTCTCTTTCGAGCGGGTTGCTCCTTCTTCTGCAATAGTCTAGTTCCTTTCGAGCGGTTTGCTCCTTCTTCTGGAAGTTTCTAGTTCCTTTCGAACGGTTTGCTCCTTGGTCTGAAATCGAAATTCTCTAGGCTCTTTCGAGCAGGTTGCTCCTTCCTCTGCAATATTCTAGTTCCTAGTCTCTCTCGAAAGTCTCTGGTCTCTTTCGAGCGGTCTGCTCCTTCTCCTGGAAGTTTCTAGTTCTTTTCGAGCGGTTTGCTCGTTGCTCTCATATCGAAATTCTCCAGTCCCTTTCCTTCTTCTGGAATTCTCTAGTTCCTTTCGAGCGATGTGCGCCTTGTTTTCAAATCGAAATTCTTGAATCTCTTTCGAGCAGGTTGCTCCTTCTTCTGCAATATTCTAGTTCCTAGCCTCTTTCAAAATTCTCCGGTCTCTTTCGAGCGGTTTGCTCCTTCTTCTGGAATTCTCTGGTTCCTTCCGAGCTGTTTGTTCGTTGTTTTCAAATCGAAATTCTCTAATCTCTTTCGAGCGGTTTGCTCCTTGCTTTCAATTCCTCTAATCTCTCTCGAAATTCTTTGGTCTCTTTCGAGCGGGTCGCTCCTTCTTCTGCAATATTCTAATTCCTTTCGAGAGGTTTGCTCCTTGGTCTCTTTCAAGCGCTTTGCTCCTTCTTCTGAAATTCTCTTGTACTTTTCAAGCGGTTTGCTCCTTGTTGTCGAATCGAAATTCCCTATTCTCTTTCGAGTGGGTTGCCCCTTCTTCTGCAATATTCTAGTTCCTGTCGGGCGGTTTGCTCCTTGCTTTCAATTGTTTTGGCTTTTTTGTCGAAATTTTCTGGCCTCTTTCGAGGGGTTTGCCCATTCTTCTGAAATTCTCTAGTTCCTTTCGAACGGTTTGCTCCTTGTTTTCAAATCGAAATTCTCTAGTCTCTTCGAACGGGTTGCTCCATTTTCTGCAATACTCTAGTTCCTTTCGAGCGGTTTGCTCCTTGATTTCAATTTCTCTACTCTCTCTCGAAATTCTCTGGTCTCTTTCGAACGGTTTGCTCCTCCCTCTGGAATTCTCTAGCTCCTTTCGAGCGGTTTGCTCCTTGTTTTCAAATCGACATTCTCTAGTCTCTTATTCTAGTTCCCTTCGAGCGGTTTGCTCATTGCTTTCGATTTATCTAGTCTCTCTCGAAATCCCTTGGTCTCTTTCATTAGGTTTGCTCCTTCTTCTGAAATTCTCTAATACTTTTCGAGCGGTTTGCTACTTGCTTTCAAATCGAAATTCTCTTGTCACTAGTCTCTTTCGAGCGGGTTGCTCCTTCTTCTGCAATATTCTAGTCCCTTTCGAGCGGCCTGCTCCTTGCCTTCAATTTCTCTAGTCTCTCTCGAAGCTTTCTGGTCTCTTTCGAGCGGTTTGCTCCTTCTTCTGGAATTCTCTAGTTCCATTCGAGCAGTTTGCTCCTGGTTTTCAAATCGAAATTCGCTAGTCTCTTTCGAGCAGGTTGCTCCTACTTCTGCAATATTCTAGTTCCTAGTCTCTCTCAAAATTATCTGGTCTCTTTCGAGCGGTTTGCTCCTTCTTCTGGAATTCTCTAGTTCCTTCCGAGCGGTTTGTTCGTTGTTTTCAAATCGACATTCTCTAGTCTCTTTCACGCGGTTTGTTCCTTGCTTTGGATTTCTTTAGTCTCTCTCGAAATTCTATCGTCTCTTTCGAGCGGTTTGCCCCTTCTTCTGCAATATTCAAGTTCCTTCCGAGCGGTTTGCTCCTTGCTTTCAATGTCTCTAGTCTCCCTCAGTACAGCAGCACAGGCAGCGTCACAGAGTCAGAGTGTAATCGAGTATGCTAGAATCATTGACGCCACTGTTTGCCGTTGTTGCTGCTCTCATGCCGATTGGTTGTGCCTCGTCTGGTCTTGAGGCTTGGCAATTTCACACCCCATACCCAGCGTCATTTAACCCAAAACCCCTTAAGTGCTTCACCTTCAGCCCATGAACCCATTCATTCGGTAGTGTCTCGAGATTGACCCGTTCGCAACCCTGAATGCCCTAAACACACGTTCACCGATGCTTCACCCAGCAGGATGAGTTCCGGAACTCGGAACAGCACGCTGAAGGAAGGACACTCAGCCAAAGACGTGAGCAAAGTTCGAGGAGGAACGACGTCGGCTGCTGACTGCTTGGGATTGTAGGCGTCGGGGCTTGTGTCCTTCCGCTTTGGAACTCCCCTCTCCTCCTTAAGGAATACAGCTACTTCTTAGGTTCGGTGCCCTTATCCACCCCGAAGTTGCGAAGAGAGGCCGGAAGGATCTTCCCAGCGTGGACACCGGGGGTGCTGTTCATGGCATCCTGTGGTTCCATACTAAGGCTCGCAACAGGGACATCGCTTCGGGATTTGGTAGTGGCAGTTTCAAGGAGGCAGTGGTAGTAGTCGCTGAAACAGTCGTCGTCGGCGCAGTCTTCGGCGGCAGCAACAGCAGCGGTGGTAGTAGTAGCAGCAGCAGTCGCAGGAGGATAGCAGTAGTGGTTGTAATAGTAGTAGTAGAGTAGTAGTAGTAGTAGTAGTAGTAGTAGTAGTAGTAGTAGCAGCAGCACTAAACCTTGGGTTCCTAGACGCAACGAAACTGCAGCGGCCAGATTGTTGAAGGTCCTCCACAGCTGTCATGTCGACCCATTTTCCGCCAGACTTTGCCATCATGTCGGCCCGACCCTTGAAAACGATTCCTGGGCAGCGCAGAGGGCTCAGGGTTCAACATTTGGGGTATTTAGGGTTGAGGGTGCAATGTTTAGGGATAAGATTGTTATGAAGGCCGGCTCACAAGCCCGCTGCCTGTGCAAATCCTCCGGTTCTGCATTCAAGATGCCTATGTAAATTTACATCTTAACCCCGCAAAGCTCCCGCTATGCAACAGCCCCAAAGTCATTGCACCTTCAAGGCGCTCAATTCGGGGCTCAAGTCTTGAACCGCGAAGGCCTTGCAGCCAACAGAGCCCTGCGAGACGGGACACCTCCTCGTTCCCGGCGCACCAGATCGCTCGTCCGGAAGTAACGCCTCGAGTCTTTGCTTCCGCTTGTTTCTGCAAGGCTTTGTGTGCTCTCAGCTGCGCGTCCCAAGAGCTTTGGTCCGACAACACTTCGCTGGGATCGGCACTGGTCCTCGTGCACTAGGAAGACATCCTTCGTCTGCCAGACATGTGGACGGCTCTACCACTTAAACCACCTGCAAGGACCTGCGAGACCTTGAACCTTCTTTCGACCAAGCCTGTCTGGTCTTTTGTCTCTAACCAGGCAAGCATCGACAGAGCACTGCAATGACATAAGCTTCACATGCGACTGTGGCTCCGTAGGCGTCGTGACACGGGCATTCTGGTGATAGCCCGCCATTACCTCGTTGCGCTTGGCACGTCGGGGCTTTAGGATGATTAGGTTGCTATCCTCAAACCTCCGCATCCTAGTCCCTGACATGGATTGAAGGCCCTGCATTTTGTCTGCAACAGGTTTAGGGTACGAAGGCCCTCTACGGTTCGCGCCGTGTTCTACCCACGGAGTGATTTACGAAGGGCCCGAAAGTCGCACTTTGGACAAATTGGCCAAAGCACCATCGGACCCCCAATGCAGAGAAGCCCCAGCTCTCCATCAGCAGCTTCGGTACCTCGCAGGAGGATGTTGTAACCCGGCTCGTAGTTCTCGAGAAACTTACCCAACTCGAAGGTGATGATCGATAAAAACCAACTCAGAACAACCCAGAGCATAGGCCGCCTCAAAATGCAAGCTTGCGACTTAAAGAAGGCGCGCATGCAAAACTCCACTACATGAAGATGCCGGGCTTCCGAAGTCCAGCTTTCCTTGCTGCTTGAACTCTTAAAAATGTTACATCCTGCGACGGTGCCCCAGCCTTTGTCCGTAAGAACGAGAATCTTGGCTGCACGCACGCCGTGCAGCAGCCCATCCTCGCGCCCAAGAGCTTGGCGAGATGTCTTGCTGTGTACGTGACCAAACTACTTCTTGAAGAAGCAACCTCAACATGTGCAAGATTGATGACGCCAACAACAACAACGACCCACTTTACCATCGCCGCAACACCACCAGCATCTATAAAAACAGCAGCGCACCGAGCTGCGGCAGCAACAACAAACAAACAAAAACTGTTCAAAATGCAGAACAACATCAGCAGTAACAACGGTGACACTTGCAGTAGCAGCAGAAAATGTAGTAGTGAGGATAGATGATGGTAGTACAGTAGTCATCGTCGTGGTCACTGCTATAGTCGCAGTTCAGGCCACACGATGTTCCGACAGCAGCATCAGAATGAATCCTGGATCGTCAATTCCACCCTGGGGCAGCTGTTCATCGAAGCTCACGAGCGATGTTCATGCAAAATCCTTAAAACTGCTCAACCGGTGATACGACCACAGCACGTGAGCCTCCAAAGGGTCCGCCCAACACGTGAGCCTCAGGCATGTCTTCCGAAGGTCTCTGCGTCCAGGCAGTCTTACAACCCAGGGTTGTAGCTGTCATGTTCGAGGTGGGGGCCACAGTGACAGGGGTTTGTGGTCTGCAAAGTATTCGAGGCGGAAACCCAGCACGCCTCCCTCAATGCAGCTTTGTGGGTTGGGGCCGCCTCCTGTTGAATGCCGTTGCTCTCGAATGTCTTTTTGCCCAACCTTCTCGCTCAAGCATTATCCTGGGAGGCTGTTGGCACAAGACCAAGAGAAACCAAGACAGCCCGGTGGGGGAAAAGGGGTAATCACTACTTACTGCGACTAGCACCGCCACTTTCATTCGGGATATGGGGATCTGAAAAGATTCGGTTGTTCTCACTTCTCATGTATTATCATAGGTGTTCGTCTTGCAACACATAACCCCCGTCTTAGCATCATGAGCACACCCCCAAGAACAACGAGCACCACAAAAACGGAGCGTCGCCGAAACCGCAAGAATCCTAAAGCCAAACCCAAAATGAGCAAGACAAATGAGACGTAAAAACTGCAATCCCCCAAACAATCCTACACACCTACACCTCCAAATGCCAAAAACGCTTTCAACCCCCTTCAAACCGCAACCAAAAAAAAAAAACAGGGCTCCCGGCCAATACTCGGAGGAGACCAAGAGCTCCCGGAGCGCCGCCCCGTGCCCGCGCCACCTCGCGGTAAGTGCTGCTTCGGCTTCGAGCTTAGGGTTGACGCTCTCACATCGAGCTTAGGGTTTAGGGGGCTGCAGTAGGGAATTAGGGCACTGGGGGAAAGGAGAGGCAATGGGATTTAGGTTTGAGGTCTTGGAAGGGACTCATAGGATTCATGCCTGGGGATTTTTTGCCTCCTACTTAGCATCGGGTTTGGGAGTTAGGATTAGAGTTTGCAGGGTGTTGAGGCACCTCCGCCTTGTTGGATGAGTTTGGTTTGATGGCTTTGAGGGCTTGGGGATATAAGGCTTGGGGATGACAGCCGACTGGTGGACAGCTGCCCTGCCTTTGCGCAATCTGTGGAGGCAGCCGCTCCTTCCAGCACCATCAGACACAGCCGATACATCTGAGTCCATTGCTGGAAGCTGTCAGCCCGGAGTTTCAACTTTCAGTGGATGATGGATAGCTGCGATCTGCAGGACTCGATGGTCGTCCCAAGATGTACTTAGAGGTCCACGTCACCTATACACCAAGTAGAACTACATTCAGTTTCCCAAAAATACCATAGCTTTCGTTGTCTAGGGTTATCATTGGGTCATAAGTATGTAAAGCATTGCTTAGGTAATACCTACCCGGAACCGCCAAGTTCAGAGAGGATTTTCGCACAGGTAACGTAAATCTAAGTACGTGAGATTCCGACTCCAGGAGAACAGGTGACGATTTGGACAATCCCAGGATCATCTTCCGATCTCCCTTCGGTTTCTCAAACACCCGTCCACTCATCCCAAACCCCGAAACCTGTTTTGACAAGACCGTGACTCTTGTGCACTTTTCCTTTAGACGGCGGCCAAGCGTCTCCCCAGGTGAAAACGAGGTCGATGTTCGGCAAATCCTAGCCGACACTCCGGGCTTACAAAGCAATAGATCACCCTTCAGCCCTACGCCCGGTGCCAACTTGTCCGAAGCTCGAAACTTAAATCCCTGTATTTCACAAGTAGATTCCGAGGTACTCGGCCTCATTCAGAAGGTATCCAACTACATGCTGCATGCATCAGTGTAACCGCACTCAAGCAGGCCCATGCGCCACCTCTGCGGGTTTGCGAGCGAGCAGGTCCTCGCACAGGACACTCATGAGTTAGACTTGACTACTCCTCCACTACTAGCAGACCATGATAGTTGGTATGAATACAGAAATACCACCACAACTACGGCACTACTCTCGATAGCACCAGGAGCTTCAAGGTCAGCAACGGACACAGCGGCTGTGACTGCATTTGGTGGGGATGGCGCATCTACGAGGGAGGCGGTTCAGCCATGCATTGACATGGAAGATTTCAACATCCCGAGCTGAAGGCTTAGCTGAATGCTGCGTGGGGCTTCGGGCTGTCGGGCTTCGCGATCGGACACACCTCCTACTGTATCTCTATGCGCAGCCCTCCGGTCCAGATGCTCAGGAACCACACCCAGCACTGTGATCTGCTCCTGATTTCAATTGGTATGTCTAGGAATGTCGGACCTCTTGTCTTGGCAAAACAAGACATCTAAGCAGGCCCGTCGCGAATATCTCCGGACGACTACGGAGCCTTGCAAGCGGTGCTCCGGTTGAGAACTGATACTTAAGTCTGCATTATTGCACAAATCGACACTTGCGCAGCACATGGGGAAAAACATGCTTTCAGTTAACCGCCGCCTCGGCAATGCATTGCTGCAACTTTGCCACTTCTGTCATCTCGGTCAAGACCTCGGATGCGCCGCCCTCTCTCTGTCACTTCCGCGGACAGCCGTAGATGAGAGACAGGCCTATTGAGCCATTTTACGAAAGATGTCTGACGGGAAGTAAAGAAAACTTTAGACAAAGACTCCGGCTTCGGTGAAGGAAGAGCGTGAGCTGCATGGTATGGATGCTTGTCAGCAGTTCCCGACAGTGTCTGTCCAGGCGAAGCTGGTGCAAAGCAACAGCAGGGCTCGGCACGTTTTGACGCAATGCTATTCACTTCATACTGTACAAGATCCAACCTGGCTTCGCAGGGGCTTCTTTGGCTGAGCCCCCAAGCACCGTCAAGCAGTGCATGGTCTGGCTAGCTTCGAGGATTCGAGACATCGATCGGGCTTACACTCCCAGATTTCTGTCCGACTTGCTGCTACAATGTTAGGTTAGGCTACTGCCAATTTGGACAAGCAGGGCAGCGGATGCCTCAACATGGGTCCTGCAGGCTCCATGGCTTCAGGCCTTGCAGTGTTGTGGGGCCTTCAGTCTTCAGAGGCATGGAGGGGCTCTGAGTTTTTGGGGTCGGATTCTTATTGTGGCTCTCATGGTCTACTGTTTGAGATCTGAAAACAGGCCAAAGAATGCACTGCCGCACACTTCTTGCATCTTGCCCCACATCCTTCACGTGCTTCGTGAAATCTAGGAATCCAGGCTGCGTCTAGAGAGCAGCTTCCCCTCCGGTCTCGCACGGGCTGCTTCAAGTGCGTGCTACCACGTGAAGGCTCTGGCCCTCAATGCTAAATGCTGACGAGCCACAGCAGTTCCGCCATATGCCAAGGCAATGCTCAGCTGTCCTTGTTTAAATTGAGCAGTCTCGTAACTTAGTTTCAGGGTCCATCTGGTATACCTGTAGCAGCACCCGGTCAACAGCCTATAATCCTGTAAGGCAGCAGATTATAGGCTGTAAGACAGTAGTAGAGCAAACGATCGGCAACACGACCAGGGAGCATACATATTAAGGGAGTTGTGGTGAACGGAGCAGGTGACTCATCCAAGGGCGGCCCGGCAAGGCAGGTGCTGGTCGGATCGGAAATACAGATTACCATCAGCCACACGATGCTCATGCCATCAACAGCCGAGATAGGCACCCAGAGCGGACGCGGCCCAGTAGACGCTGGTATGCGCCAGAACCTGGGCTTGCGGTGCCAAAAGACTCGAAATTGGTGTGACACATCAGCCACGCGGTCGAGCCCGCACCCAAAAGCCCATGGCCTACCCTCCCCCTCCCGAAAGAAAACATATGTCAAGACATATATATATATACACACAGTGATACACATAAACACCTACATAATCATATAGGCTGTACATTAAGTGTGTAAACATACAAACACAGATATACATATATATATATATATATATATGTGTGTGTGTGTGTACGTATATACAGGTGTACTATAGAAATCGCACGCAAACATAACAATAACTATAATGACAATAATAACTACATTAACAGCAAAAAAAGTAACGACGATAACATCAACGCCACCATCACCACTACCACCACCACCACCAACAACAACAACACCACCACGACTACTACGACTACGACTACGACTACGACTACGACTACGACTACGACGACGACGACGACGACGACGACTACTACTACTACGAGTACTACTACTACTAGTACTTCTACTACTCATCTTGGAATCTTGCCCTACTTGTCAACTTGCCCCACTTGGGGTAGGAGCAAGATTGCCAGCAATCTCACAATCTTGGTCTCAAGTCCCACCCGGCAAGATGACCAAGATTGCTGGCAATCTTGGTTTCCCACCAAGACTGACCAAGATTGCAGAATTACGAAGGTGCTCTCCAATAATTAACTGTTCTAGATTCCCGGCACGACGCACCACTACCACTACCACTACCACTGCCACTACTAATAACAATAATCATATTGATAACAATAGTGCTATTACTGAAATTGCTAATAATACCAACACTTCAAAGAAAGCAGCGCAGCGCACCTTAAGCCGTATTGTTTACACCGTTCTGCCAACAGCGACGCTCATCATCATCATCATCATCATCATCATCACCCGCACCGTCATTCATTGACGGACGAGTCGTAAGCTCCTCTTGCTACTGATTGAAAGTATTCGACATTCATGCGAAAAAGACTGGCGGCACGATTGAATGCCACACCCCAAACCCTACAACCGAAACCATAAGGCTACTGCTGTTCTGCCGGGCCGCCACCGGCGGCTGCTTTGGATTCCAGAGCTCCTTGGCAACCAGGGCTTGAAGTGCTTTGCAAGCGCCGCTTTAGCTGGGATCTTCTAGGGCGTCTAGGATTGGAGTTTAGTACAGGGCCTTCGCATTTTGGTGAGACTATTGGGCCTGATGCTTCATGCAATTCGGGTCTTGAGCTGTACAATAGGCTATATGCCTTTGCTTTAGTACATGTAGGGTTGGAAGTTTAAGTTGGCTTCGCGGTTTCGGGCTCTCGGGTTTACGCCTCCATTTGGGACTTGTGCCATCTGCAATGACACAGGCAATGCAAACACGCTGCAGTTGTTGGAAGAGTGTGCATTTCCCAAACCCAGAAGCCGGCCAATAGGACATGGAGCACTGCTTCTCGAGGGCCTAGGGGCCTAGGGCCATAGGCAAGGGCGTGCCGCCTCAACACCAGCAATTTACACATTATTTTCGCATGTCTGCAACAATCCATCTCTGCACCAAGTGCAAAGGCCATCTACCACTACTTTCAGCAACAGATTACTTTACATGCGTAGACAGACCGCGACTCCCGCCAGTAGGCTAGCAGAGTGTCCAAAGATAACAAACAAACACACCGTACCTACACTATTGGTTCCGGTTGCTATGTTCATATAACTGATGCATGTTAGCATCTTCAAGTTCTGTCCCGCTGCACCACACGAGCATTTAGCTGAGAACTGCCAGTGTGTCGGTGAGAGTCCGTGAGAGCTTCAGCCACGTTCGCACCGGTAAGTTGCCCTCTTCTTCAGGCACGCGGCACACGTCCACGTCTCCAAGTACGGGACAATCAACCTCTACCTGGTATCACTCGCAGCCTCTCAGTTGCCTGCCGTCAGTCAAATCGACAGCCTACATAACAAACCAGGCCAAGGCAATCTGAACCAAAACCCACCCTAAAGCCAAAACCCGAACCTCAGACCAAAGCCCCTTGACCTTAATTTTTCAACCAAGAGCTCAAGAAAACATACCTACACCCTAAACCCGACAAGCCATGAACACATAAACTCTGAAATCTCGAGGCCCTTCACATCCGAGGGGCCCGGTAGCTCGACTTCTCATGCAAGAACATCCTGCCAATGGCAACACTTAAAACCTGCTAAACCGGCAAACAAACCTCAATAAACTCCCCCCAAAATCCCCTGAACACTACCTATGGCCTAGAGCTTGTTTTCCTCCAAAACTTCTCATGAAACAAGAATCTCACTGGCTCGCCGAAGTGAGCAGCTTAGGCACGCAGAACGCCCTTGGGCCCGATGTCAAGCCCAGCCCACACCCACTCCAACTTGTGGCCTTTCACAAACCAACAGCAGCAGTAATCAATCAACAATGATCTCCATAACCATCGTACGCTATAGTAGCGACAACTGTGTTGACGACAGGTGATAATACTGGCATTCCTCAAGCCCCGCTTCAGCACACTGTGTCCTGTGCGTGACCTCGACGATCTTCGTCCGCACTGTGCCGCCGGTAAAAATGAAGCAAACCACGTCCGAGGGGTCGGCGGTCGCGCAGTAGTCTGATGTCAGAAGTGTTTTGTGCCGGCCACGGGAAGACATTGCGACACGGCATCTACGACGAACACACCACTACTTCCTATTTTCGATAACAACAAAAGCTCGCAAACTTGAAGTAGCTGCCCAGGTGCCGTCGCCGTTGAGCAGATATCCGCGGGGTTCCTCCTTCAGGGGATAGGACTGGCCTAGACTGGATTTCATCCGTGGTATGCTGCTGCAGGTTACTACTGATGTTCGTCAGGGATCCCCCCCGAGTGGTAAACCCTGATTTTAACTTCGAGGCTCAATGGCAAGTTGAGGTCGCGCTTATCGCCTGAAGCTGATGGTTGCAGCCTGCTGCCGCTGGCGCAAGTCAAGGCGCAAGTCTCCCAAGGAAATTCTGGTCGCACAGGACAGTCTTATATAAGTCCACATGAAAGTCTCAAGCATCGTAGCAAACCCCCCGCCTGCTGACGGGAAAACAATCCCTTGATGCAGGCTATAATTTGCACTGCTCTCAATGGGCCGAGTTAGTTCGGTTCAGCCCTGCACCCACGCGATCCCACAACTTAAGCAGTCCCTGAAGCCTCCCTCAACAGAGCTGGGCGCCCCGCCAGTCGAGGCACAGAGCAGTGCGCCTGGGGCAGAAGATATGTTCAAAATCTGGCATCCCAAACTGGGCATCGAAGACAAGGCAGTGGAAAGGGCTCATTGATCTGGGCCTCGCCATTGCTATCTCCGCCGATGACCAGCCAAGGTCGAAGAGCATGCACCACGAAATCGTTCCTTGCGGAGCTTGCGAGCTTGGAATGCCTTAAACTGTAAGTAAGCCTCGTCACAGTCTTTCGCTTCACAGGCGTGTGCTCATTGATTGAAGCAGGCAAGGGTGTGGAGCCTCTTGCCTTCCTCGTTCCAGGCCAGGGTCTGCCAGTCAAGCAAGGCTATTGCGAAGGGATTGGTCATGATCCAGAGATTGAAAGCTTGGTTCAGCCTTTGGCCCCAAGGAAAACAGTACCAGCCTCGTCTCCAGGCCCTGCCAAACTAAGTCCTTGCCAAGCATCCGGGATCGTTGGAGCCTGAAGCTTCCAAGCGGAGACATGACTGGTGGTTGGATCCCTGGCTTCTTCCGTAAACTTGTACACCTTGCTATAGGCCAAACCTGTCGTCTCGACTTGGGAACCTCTAAATCCTACATACCAGGTACTACTCTCGGCACTGCTCCCTAAAACCTCTGAGCAGGACTGTGTCGGATTGGCCACAAGGCTGGCCCAGTTGAGTCGAGCCAATCCCCAACACCTGTCCGCCCGCCCTGTTGTTGGAACTGGGATGTGGATTGGGCGAGCGTTCCTCATGAATGTACGCGGCGACGCGCGTGGACGCTCAAACTGCAGGAGGTATGGGCAACACCGTTTTCAGGAGTAACTAGTGCGGCTTGGGCACTTCTCGTCAGTGAGATCCCGGCTCAGCAATACCTGGCAGCTCGCCCTCGCTCGATGCTCCGGTGGCTGGGGAGGGAGGGGGGCCTTGGTGGCTTGGTGTGCCTGTCGCAACATAGCCGCAGGCAGGGATCTTATGGTTTCTTTTCCAAAACGCTGGTCCCGAGGCCCCCCCCCCCTACAGTCACTCCTGCACACCTTCACCCGGAAAGCCCCCCCCAGGGCTGAGCCCTTGCAAACCGCGGCAGGACGGCAAAACGTTGCCCGCAGCGGCTCGCGGCCAGCAGCGTAGGGAGGAAGTCGGGATCCTGGTCAGACTTAGGGACTAGAGTTTCGGGCTCACTCCCCCAACTCCGGACGCCTAGACACCTAAACGACCTACTGTAGAATTGAGAGACTTGAGCTCTAATGCTTCAGGGTTTGGGCCAGGATGCGAAATGTCGTCTGCAACACTACCCTTCTGCTACCCCTGAGGCGAACTGGAAGATGGCGGTGCATTCTAGAATGCATCGTCGACGAGCTGACACCAAACAGCTCCTAGGCACGACGTCGAAGACTTGCTGGAGAATTAGAAGAACGATTACGAGAGCATCGTTCCAATCTCCGTACGTCCTAAGACCTGAGACGAAGGCAATGCTTGTGCAGGGGCCTCCAAAAAGCTCGACAACCTTCAATCCGAAATCCTGAAGCGACTGCAAGGCCTCCCGTGAGTGGTGGATGGCGACTACCTTGGAATTCAGCAGCAGTGGAAATAGGCTTCCCCCTGCAAACCAGCAGCTGCAGCGGCAGCAGGAGTGGGAGTACGAGTAGCAACAGTAGAAGCGGTGGTCCTAGTCGTGGTCGTGAGAAACATTTTGCTTACACGTACATAGCACATAAATTATACATACATACATACATACA